AACATGGTGAAACCCCGTCTCTACTAAAAATACAGAAAATTAGCTGGGCATGATGGCGCGTGCCTGTAATCTCAGCTACTCAGGAGGCTGAGGCAGGAGAATTGCCTGAACCCAGGAGGCTGAGGTTGCGGTGAGCCGAGATCGCGCCATTGCACTCCAGCCTGGGTAACAAGAACAAAACTCTGTCTCAAAAAAAAAAAAAAAAAAAAAAAAAATTTGTGTTTGTTTTGGGGAACCACAAACCATGCCCATGTAAGATGGTAAACTTAATAAATGTGTGTGGGCCAGCAGCAGTGGCTCACAACTGTAATCTCAGCACTTTGTGAGGCTGAAGCAGGAGGATCACTTGAACCCAGGAATTCTAGGCCAGCCTGGGCAACATAGTGAGATCCCGTCTCTACAAAAAATAAAAAAATTAGCTGGGTGTGGTGGCGCATGCCTGTGGTCCCAGCTACTTGGGAGGATACATTGGGGGGATCATCTGAGCTCAGGGAGGTTAAAGCTGCAGTGAGTCATGGCTGTGCCACTGCACTCCAGCCTGGGTGGCAAAGTGAGACCTTGTCTCAAAACACACACACACACACACACACAGAGAGAAAAAAAATCCAAAAACCCAAACAACCGGCTGATTCCTTCGTGGAATTTTCTAATGCGGGTACGAGTGAGCTTGAGTATTTGTGTACTGAAAAACACTACCAGGTTAGAAACTACCTTCCCTTTAGGTCTCCTCCTTTAAAGTCAGGGCGTTACACTGACAGTTAAGAAAGTATGTGACTCAGTAAGTTTTGTGGCCATCTGGTTTCTGGTCTGTCATGTAAGGAGCTTGGAAGTTGTCATTTCATCCTCACAAGTAAAACGCTGAACAAGGCCGGGCGCAGTGGCTCACACCTGTAATCCTAACACTGTGGGAGGCCGAGGCAGGTGGATCACCTGAGGTCAGGAGTTCGAGACCATCCTGGCTAACATGGTGAAACCCTGTCTCTACTAAAAATACAAAAAATAAGCTGGACATGGTGGCAGGTGCCTGCAATTCTAGCTACTCGAGAGGCTAAAGCAGAATAATTGCTTGAACTTGGGAGGTGGAGGTTGCAGCGAGCCAAGATCACACCATTGCACTCTCCAGCCTGGGTGAAGCTGAATAAACTGAAAAACCAGCAGCTCTTTTTCAATTCATCAGAAAAAGAGGTCACAGGATAATCTGCTTCCAAACTGGAAAGGCTGAAAGGTAGATACAGGTCGGGCGCGGTGGCTCATTCCTGTAATCCCCGCACTTTGGGAGGCCAAGGTGGGCGGATCACGAGGTCAAGAGATCAAGACCATCCTGGCCAACATGGTGAAACCCCATCTCTACTAAAAAATACAAATATTAGCTGGGCATGGTGATGCGCACCTGTAGTCCCAGCTACTCGGGAGGCTGAGGCAGGAGAATTGCTTGAATCCAGGAGGTGGAGACTGCAGTGAGCTAAGATCACGCCGCTACACTCCAGCCTGGTGCCTGGCGACAGAGCAGAGCAAGACTCTGTCTAAAAAAAAAAAAAAAAAAAGAAAAAGAAAAGTAGATACAGAGAATCATGATTTGCCAGAGCAGAAACCTTCCCTGGAATCAGTACCTGGGTGGGAAAGCCTGAACTGCAGCTGATGAAGGGCTGGCAGTGTGGACGTGTGCTCCTGGTTCATGTTAGGTGGTGCTGGACTGCAGCAAGGAATACTTAGAGACTGGTGAAGCATGACTTCTGGGTTTGCCTGCGGAGGTGTTTCCGGAGGAGATTGGCATGGGAGTCAGTGGACCGAGTGGGGAAGGTCTGCCCTCATTGTGGCTGGCACCATGCCATTGGTTCACGACTTGGAGAAAACAAAAACAGGGAAAAGAGTTTCCTCTCTCTCCCAGAGCTGGGACATTCTTCTCCTCCTGCCCTTTGGATATCAAAACTCTAGACTTTTCAGCCTCGGACTGAGAATTACCCCAGTGGCTTCCCTGGTTCTAAGGCTTGCAGACTTGGACAGAGCCACGCGACTGGCACCCCTTGCGGATGGTCTGTCGTGGGACTCCTCAGCCTCCGTTAATTGCATGAGCCAATTTCCCTATAAATCCCCTCTCATCTCAATCGTCTAGCCATCATATTGGTTCTGTCTCTTCAGAGAACCCTAATACAAATTTGAGAGTTAAAAAGTGGCTGGGGAAGGTGGCTCACCGCTGAAATGCCAGGACTTTGGGAGGCTAAGGTAAGAGGATCACGGGAGCCCAGGAGTGCTAGACCAGCCCGGGCAACATAGCAAGATCCTATCTCTACAAAAAAGAAAAATATTAGCCAGGAGTGGTGGCACACACTTTAGTCCCAGCGACTCTGGAGGATGAGGTGGGAGGATGGCTTGAGCCCAGGAAGGGGAGGCTGCAGAGAGCCATGATGGCACAGATGCACTCCAGCCTGGGTGACAGAGCAAGATCTATCTAAAAAAAATAATAATAATAAATTAAAAATTAAAAAGTCCATGCGAGGCTGAGGCAGAAGAATGACTTGAACCCCAGTAGAGGTTGCAGTGAGCTGAGCTCACACCATTGCACTCCAGCCTGGGTGGCAAGAGCAAGACTCCGTCTCAAAAAAAAAAAACAACCCTCCAGTGGAGGCCCACTCATGAAGGGGGCACATTTTTAGACAGGATCTTGCTCTATCACCCATACTGGAGTGCAGTGGTGAGGTCTTGGCTCAGGGCAAACTCAACCTCCTGAGGCTCAGGTGATCCTTCCACCTCAGCCTCCCGAGTAGCTGGGACTACAGGCATCTGCCACCATGCCTGGCTGCTTTTCAACTTTTGGTAGAATTCAAAACTAGCGAGGCATAGTGGCACATGCCTGTAGTCCCAGCTACTTGGGAGGCTGAGAAAGGGGAATCACTTGAACCCAGGAGGCAGAGTTAGCAGTGAGTTGAGATCACACCATTGCACTCCAGCCTGGGCAACAAGAGTGAAAGGTCATCTCAAAAAAAAAAAATTTTTTTTTTTTTTGGTACTTTGGTACATACAGGGTTTTGCCATGTTGCCCTGGCTGGTCTCAAGCTCCTGGGCTCAAGTGATCCAGCCCCTTCATCCTTCCAAAGTGCTTGGATTGCAGGCATGAGCCACTGTACCTGGCCAAGAGTAACTTTTATTTTGAGACGTCGTCTTGCTGTCGCCCAGGCTGGAGTGCAGTGGCATGATCTCGGCTCACTGCAACCTCCACCTCCTGGGTTCAAGCAATTCTCCTTTCAGCCTCCCAAGAAGCTGGGACTACAGGCATGTGCCACCACACACAGCTATTTTTTGTATTTTTAGTAAAGAGGGGTTTCACCATGTTGGCCAGGCTGGTCTCAAACCCCTGACCTCACGTGATCTACCCACCATGGCCTCCCAAAATTCTGAGATTATAGGCATGAGCCACTGAGCCTGGCTGATTGGTTTATTTTTTGAGACAGAGTCTCACTTCATCATCTGGGCTGGAGTGCAATGGTGTAGTCTCAGCTCACTGCAACCTCAGCCTTCCAGGTTCAAGTGATTCTCCTTCCTCAGCCTCCCGAGTAGCTGGGATTACAGGCATGCACTACCATGTTCAGCTAATTTTTGTGTTTTTAATACAGACAGGATTTCACCATGTTGGCCAGTCTGGCCTCAAACTCCTGACCTCAAGTGATCCATCCAGCTCGGCCTCCCAAAGTGCTAGAATTACATGCATGAGCCACTGGGCCTGGCCCAAAACATTCTTTCTCTTTTTCTTTCTTTCTTTCTTTTTTTCCAAGATGGAGTTTCACTCTTGTTGCCCAGGCTAGAGTGCAATGGCATGATCTCGGCTCACTGCAACCTCTGCCTCCCGGGTTCAAGTGATTCTCCTGTCTCAGCCTCCAGAGTAGCTGGGATCAGAGGTGCATGCCACCATGCCCAGCTAATTTTTGTGTTTTTAGTAGAGATGGGGTCTCATTGTATTGGTCATGCTGGTCTCAAACTCCTGACCTCAGGTGAACTGCCTGGCTTGGCCTCCCAAAGTGCTGGGATTACAGGTGTGAGCCACCACACCCGGCCTATTTTTTTAATTTTATTTTTTTGATATAGGGTTTTGCTCTGTTGCCGGGGCTGGAGTGAAGTGGTGCAATCTCAGTTCACTGAAACCTCCGCCTCCTGGGCTCAAGCAATTCTTGTGCCTCAGCCTCCCAAGTAGCTGGGACTACACATTGCCCTGCTTTTCTGAATTTTTTTTTTTTTTTTTTTTTTTTGAGACAGAGTCTCACTCTGTTGCCCAGGCTGGAGTGGAGTGGCACGATCTCCACTCACTGCAACCTCTGCCTCCTGGGTTCAGGCAATTTTCCTGCCTCAGCCTCCTGAGTAGCTGGGATTATAGGCACGTACCACCACACCCAGCTAATTTTAGTATTTTTAGTAGTGACAGCGTTTCACCATGCTGGCCAGGCTGGTCTTGAACTCCTGACCTTGTGATCTGCCTGCCTCACTCCCAAAGTGCTGGGATTACAGGCGTGAGCCACCACGCCTGGCCATTGCCCTGCTTGAATTTGTTGGTTGCATCTCCATGGTGTTATTTAACATGTTCTTCTGTCCCTGTACTTTAGTAATTCAACGGTGTGATCTACTTAAGGGCAGGAATAATTTTATAGCAGGAATAATTTACAGGTGGTGTGTGTGTTTCCAGAGTCAGAACATGTTTGGTTTATGCTCTTGGTGATATTCTATAATGATACATTATCAGTGATCCTCTCCTGGATTATTTTTTTATTAGAAGTGATTTGTGTTTTGAAAGTGTCACGGGTTGCTGGGGTGTATATTGTGTATGAGTAACAGGGTTGTTGCAAGGATGGAGTCGGATAATTGTGCAACAAAGCACTGGGTGCTATTCCTGGCACGTAATGACCATATTGTTGTTGTTGTTATTGTTAGAGCTGGTGGGGGGGGGACCCAAGTCCTGAGCCTGGAGGCATTTTCTGGCCAGGGCTGTCTCCTCCCTTCTCCTCTGCCCCTAGAGGAGAAGTCTGCAGTGCCCCAAGGCTCTGGGAGGCATGTTCAGAACTGCAGCAGCCATCTCTGTGCGCCTGCTGGGGCCCCTTCAGGGAAGGAAGGCTGGAGCCTCACTCACTCGGTGCTTGCACCAGACTGTAAGTGCCCTAACCCCAATATTCTGCCACCTGCATGGCCGGGGGCTTCTGGGGGCTGGCTCATTTCTGGCTTCAAAGCTGTGCATGAGCCTTCTCTTTCAGGGAGCCCTCTCTAACTACAGCCTGGATGTGACCCCTCCCTTGCCCCTGCTTCTCTAGTCTAGAACTTGTGTCTCTGCATCTGAATAGTCGGCTTGGGTGCTGTAGGGTGCTGCTGCACATGACCCCCTGTACCCTGCCCAGGACCCCAGTACACAGTAGGGACTCAATGAATGTTAACTGAATGAATGCATGGTGCATAAGCCTAAGAACAGGCACCGTTTCCTTATTTACCCAAGTGCTGAGGGACACAGGTGAAGTTCACTCCTGTGAGCACCTGTTTCTGGGTCTCCTGATTATTTCCACTTCCCTCCTAAGCCCATTCAGTTCCACTTACTTCTGTTCTTCTTCCTCTCAATCTGTGCCCCTGTGCCCATCTACTCCTTCCCCAACCCCAACCTCCCTAAACTCCCCTCCCTCCAGCTTCTGCCGCCAGATTCCCACAACCCACTGCTGTCCCTGACTCAGCTTCACTTTTGTTTTTTTGTTTTTTTTTTTTTGAGACAGAATCTTGCTCTGTCACCGAGGTTGGAATGCGGTGGTGTGATCTCAACTCACTGCAACCTCTGCCTCCTGGGTTCAAGCAATTCTCCTGCCTCAGCCTGCTGAATAACTGGGATTACAGGTGCATGCCACCACACCTGGCTAATGTGTATTTCACCATGTTGGTCAGGCTGATCTCACACTCCTGACCTCAGGTGATCCACTCGCCTCGGCATCCCAAGTGTTGGGATTATAGGCGTGAGCATGCCCACCTTTCTTTTTTTTGTTGGAGTCTCACTGTGTCACCCAGGCTGGAGTGCAGTGGCATAATCTCGGCTCACTGCAACCTCTGCTTCCCAGGTTCAAGTGATTCTCCTGCCTCAGCCTCCCAAGTAGCTGGGACTACAAGACATTTATTGAGCCCCTACTGGCTGGCTCTGCAAACTGCTCCCACTGGAAGGATTCCGAGCTACGGAAGACCTGGGCCTTATTCACATGGTCCCCAGGGCCCCTCCAGGACATGGGGCCTGGTGTTGAGATTGCTGTGGCAGCCTCCCCGACCAGGTCCTTGCCAGCTTTTCCTCTGACCTTGAGCAGGTACCTGAGTCTGTTTGAGCCTCGGTGTCCTCATCTGTTAGGTGGAGACTATTGTGGCACACACTGGGAGTGCAGTGGGAACCGAGCGCCCGAGCAGGATCCTGAACCAGGGTTCACTATTGGCCACAGCAGGCGGCTGACAGAATGTTGTATGCCCAGCTCCACAGCCTGCCAGCCATCTGGGACTGGCAGACCCACAGGAACGGAACGTTCCTCAGGGACCACAAAGCCCATGCATCTCTGGTGCTAAAGGGATTCTGAGGACTGGAGGAGCCGAATTACCTATCCAGGGTTACCTAGCCAAGGCAGGTTAAGACCTGAATTTGGTGGCCCTCAGGCCTGGACAGTTTCTTTCTTTCTTTTTTTTTATTTGGTGGAGTTTTGCTCTGTCACCCAGGTTGGAGTGCAGTGGCACGATCTTGGCTCACTGCAACCTCCGCCTCCTAGGTTCAAGTGATTTTCATGCCCCAGCCTCCTGAGTAGCTGGGATTACAGGTGTGTGTCACAACACCCAGCTAAGTTTTTTTTTTTTTTTTTCCAGACTGAGTTTCACTCTAGTGCCCAGGCTGGAGTACAGTGGTGTGTTCTCGGCTCACTGCAACCTCTGCCTCCTGGGTTCAAGCGATTCTCCTGCCTCAGCCTCCTGAGTAGCTGGGATTACAAGCGGGTACCACCATGCCCAGCTAATTTTTATATTTTTAGTAGAGACGGAATTTCACCATGTTGGCCAGCCTGATCTTGAACTCCTGATTTCAGGGGATCTGCCCGCCCCAGCCTCCCAAAGTGTTGGGATTACAGGCGTGAACCACCGCGCCTGGACCCTGGCCAGTTTCTGCACATTCGTGGCTGAGGAGGGAGCTGGCCTGGGAGGAACACCAGGAGGGGAGGGGTGAACCAGGAGCCAGGACCCTGGGAACCTCCCAGGACTGGATTAGTACCTCCCTCAGAGTTGGAACCTGGCCTTGGGTCCAACAGGCCTAAATCTGAGTGTTTGTTGTGTGGCCTTGAACACTTCACTTCCCCTCCTGCACCCTCCAGCCTATTTTCCACCTCCTGTTTTCTCATTGATAAGATGGGCCTGGCCACGTCATTCTGGGAATTAAATGGGCATGCTTAGCAAGACCTCTGTAAGTGGAGGCTGCTGCTGTCTCTGTTGCCATTACCTTCCCTCCCCACCCTCCCTCTCCGCCCACCTCCTGCTCCTCTTTCTTAACCCTCAGCCTGTCCTGAGTCAGACTTTAACCTGGCCAAGTCAGGCTCTGTCTCAGGACACATGGAGCCAGGGCTGGAAGCCTCCACTGGATAGGTGCCAGGCGGCTCTGCAGGTTGGAGAGGTGGGGGCTGCTGGAGTAGGGAGGAACCAGGCTAGGGTTTGGAGGGTCAGGCAGAAACCTGCCCTGCCTTCTGCAAGCTCTGTTCTCTGCCTCCTCCCTGGGAGCAGACAGGGTGGGGCTGTGGCCTAAAAGCAGCCGGCCCTCCCATGCTTGAGTTGCGACCTCGGCCCCCAGACAGATTCCATCTCTGACCTTGCACTTGTTCATCTCCAGCTCACCATGGCCAAACAGCTGCAGGCCCGAAGGCTGGACGGGATCGACCACAACCCCTGGTGAGCCAGCTGGGCTGGGAAGGTGTGTGGGTGTCCCCTCGGGCATGGGTTGGCCATCCCTGGCTTTACAGCAACTCAGGTATGGCCACCATACCTGCTAATTTTTGTATTTTTAGTAGAGACAAAGATTCACCGTGTTGGCCAGGCTGGTCTCGAATTCCTTACCTTAAGAGATCTTCCCACCTCGGCCTCCCAAAGTGCTGGGATTACAGGCGTGAGCCACTGTGCCAGCCAGTTGTCCAGTTTTTCTTTTTTTCTTTTTTTTTTTTTTTTTTGAGACAGAGTTTCACTCTTGTTACCCAGGCTGGAGTGCAATGGCGCGATCTCGGCTCACCACAACCTCCGCCTCCTGGGTTCAGGCAATTCTCCTGCCTCAGCCTCCTGAGTAGCTGGGATTACAGGCACGCACCACCATGCCCAGCTAATTTTTTGTATTTTTAGTAGAGACGGGGTTTCACCATGTTGACCAGTATGGTCTCGATCTCTTGAACTCGTGATCCACCCGCCTTGGCCTCCCAAAGTGCTGGGATTACAGGCTTGAGCCACCGCGCCCGGCCCTAGTTGTCCAGTTTTTCTAAACAGGCCAAAATCCAGGACAGGATGGTGGGCTGTACTGATTCTCAATTTATCACCCAGGGTGGAGTTCGTCAAACTGGCCAGTGAGCATGACGTCGTGAACTTGGGCCAGGGCTTCCCTGATTTCCCACCCCCAGACTTTGCCATGGAAGCCTTTCAGCACGCAGTGAGCGGAGACTTCATGCTCAACCAGTACACCAAGGCGTTTGTGAGTCTCTGCGTCTCTCCTGGAGGCACTGGGGGAGGAAAGGGGGAGGGCTTTCTGGACATCAATCCCACGCGGGTGTCAGGGGACAGAGCCAGGGGATTCTGTCTGACCATAATTCAGTGTTTAATGAGCGTGTCCTCTGTCCCAGAGCCTGTGCCTCATGGTCTAGTGAGAATGGCAGACAAGAAACCAGTAATGACAGGCAGTTGATACGTGCTGTGATGGAGGAGGATGGGATATTGTGGGAGTAAGAAGGAGGGAATGAAACCTAGGGAGGGGGCTGGGGAGATGTGTGAAGACTTCCTGGAGGAGGTGACACTGAAATCAAGTCCTGGAAGACAAGCTACTGATTGGATTATACTCTAAATCCAAACTTTTTCTGGAAAGGACCACATACTAAATCCAGTGCTAATCCATCTAATCCAAAGCTTGGATTAGAACAATGGTTCTTCTTTTCTTTTTCTCTTTTGAGACAGTGTCTCACTCCGTTATCCAAGCTGGAGTGCATTGGCGCCATCATGGTCCACTGCAGCCTCAACCCTGCCAGGCTCAAGTGGTCCTCCCACCTGGGACTACAGGTGTGTGTCACCATGCCCAGCTAATATTTATTTATTTATTTTTGAGACAGGGTCTCATCTTGTCACCTAGGCTAGAGTGTAATGACATGATCACGGCTCACTGCAGCCTCTACCTCTTGGGGCTCACATGATTTGCCATTTCCTGGGGCTCATGTGATCCTCCCACCTCAGCCTCCAGAGTTACTAGGACTACAGGGGTGGGCCACCATGCCCAGCTAATTTTTGGGGGGCATTTTTTGTAGGGACAGGGTTTCACCATGTTGCCCAGGCTGGTCTGAAACTCCTGGGCTTGAGTGATCCTGCCACCTTGGCCTCCAAAAGTGCTGGGATTACAGGCATGAGCCACCATGCCCTCATTCTCTTTAATGGCTGCATGCTGTTCTGTTGCCTAGATGTGCCGTAATTTACGTAAGCAGTCCTGCACTGATGGACTGCTTCCGCTATCAGTATCATCAGCAGTGCCATGGTGAATATCCCTGCGTGGACATCTTTGTATACAGATGTACTTTTCTTTTTTTTTTTTGAGACGGAGTTTCACTCTTGTTACCCAGGCTGGAGTGCAATGGCGCGATCTCGGCTCACCGCAACCTCCGCCTCCTGGGTTCAAGCAATTCTTCTGCCTCAGCCTCCTGAGTAGCTGGGATTACAGGCACGTGCCACCATGTCCAGCTAATTTTTTGTATTTTTAGTAGAGACGGGGTTTCACCATGTTGACCAGGATGGTCTCGATCTCTCGACCTCGTGATCCACCCGCCTCGGTCTCCCAAAGTGCTGGGATTACAGGCTTGAGCCACCGCGCCCGGCTACAGATGTACTTTTCTAAGATAAATTCCTAGAAGTAAAACTAGTGAATGAAAGGCTACAAATATTTATAAATATAATAGGTGGGTATTGTTAAGAAGCAGGGTGTGCCTATAATCACAGCTACACGGGAAGCTGAGGCAGGCAGATTGCTTGAGCCCAGGAGTTTGAGGCCAGTGCAACATAATGAGATCCTGTCTCACAAATAAATAAGTAAATAATTGCCCTCCAGTAAGGTTTACTCAATAGGCTGGTCTCAGAGCTGGCTGGAAAATTCCTTCTTTGATTAAAAAAAAAAAATTCTTCTTGGGTTGGTTGGGCTGAAAACAAATCATCTGGGTATGTGTCTTTTTCTTTTCTTCTTCTTCTTTTTTTTTCATAGAGACAGGGGCCGGGTGTGGTGACTCACGCCTATAATCCCAGCACTTTGGGAGGCCGAGAGGCAGGCGGATCACCTGAGGTCAGGAGTTGGAGACCAGCCTACCCAACGTGGTGAAACCTGTCTCTACTAAAAATACAAAAGAATTAGCTGGGCATGGGGGCACCTGCCTGTAATCCCAGCTACTGGGGAGGCTGAGGCACAAGAATCCCTTGCACCTGGGAGGTGGAGGTTGCAGCGAGGCAAGATCTCGCCACTGCACTCCAGCCTGGGCAACATCAACAAACAGAGACAGGGTCTCCGTATGTTACCAAGCTGCTCTCAAACTCCTGGGCTCATGCAGTCCTCCCACCTTAGCCTCCCAAAGTGCTGGGATTATAGGCATGAGCCACTGCACCCGGCCTGTCTTGCTACATTGTCAGAGCTCTTTATATATTAAATATTTTACCTCTTTCTTTTATGTTACAGTGCTTTTCTCTTCCTCTTTTTTCTTCACGGTGCCTTTTATTTTTATTTAATTAATTTACTTTTTGAGACAGAGAATCTCAAGTTCGTCACCCAGGCTGGTGTGATTATAGCTCACTGCAGCCTTGATCTACTGGGTGCAAGCAGCCCTCCTGCCTCAGCCTCCCCAGTACCTGGGACTACCGGCACGTGCCACCACACCTGGCTAATTGTTTTGGATTTGTCATCAATACAGATGGAGTCTCCCGGTGTTGCCCAGGCTGTTCTCAGACTCCTGGCCTCAAGCAATCCTCCTGCCTCATTCTCCAAAGTGCTAGGATTACAGGCATGAGCCACTGTGCCTGGCCTGTGCCTTTTGTTTGAAAAATTTTTATTTTTCAAAAGGCCAAATCTGGTTTAGTGAGTTATTTAGTTAAGTTCTAGACAAGGTTGCCATCACTTGGCTTACCCTTGAGTATAAGTGTCCTCAACAAACAAGCTTCTGGATCTAATCTTCCTCTCAAAAAGGTAGGCTTCCAAAGCTGTAACATGAGCTTCCTGCCCCTCAACTATGTGAGACTTTGGGCAAGTAATTTCTTTTCTCTGGGTCTCTATTTTTCTACTTGTCAAATAGTGGGGATCAGGCCAGGCACAGTGGCTCACACCTATAATCCCAGCACTTTGGGAGGCCAAGGCAGGCGGATTACCTGAGGTCAGGCGTTCAAAACCAGCCTGGTCAACGTGGTAAAACCCCATCTTTACTAAAAATACAAAAATTAGCCAGGCGTGATGGTGCGTGCCTGTAGTCCCAGCTACTTGGGAGGCTGAGGCAGGAGAATCCATTGAACCCAGGAGGCGGAGGTTACAGTGAACTGCAGTTGTACCACTGCATTCCAGCCTGGGCAACATGAGTGAGACCCTGTCTCAAAAAAGGCTGGATGTGGTGGCTCATGCCTGTAGTCCCAACACTTTGGGAGGCCGAGGTGGATGGATCATCTGAGGTCAGGAGTTCAAGACCAGCCTGGCCGACATCGTGAAACTCTGTCTCTACTAAAAATAAAAAAGTTAGCCGGGTGTGGTGGCATGTGCCTGTACTCCCAGCTACTCAGAAGGCTGAGGCAGAAGAATCGCTTGAACCTGGGAGGTAGAGGTTTAGATGAGCCCATATCACACCATTGGACTGAAACCTGGGCGACAAGGCGACAAGAGCGAAACTTCATCTCAAAAAAAAAAAAAAAAAAAGCCTTTCCTACAAAGCCGCTGGGAGGATCGGGTGGGCACAAACTTAGAGATGTGGATAATGGAGAGTTTCTACTGCCTCAGGGGCTCTTGCGCTGAGGTTCATGGAGGCAAGCACTTCCTCTGATTCTCTGCTAAATCCCCGCCCTGGCTCCAGGCCTGGCACGGAACAGGGCCTATGGCAAATGCTGCCTGAAGGAAATGGAAGAGCTTAGCACTGGATATTTGAGTCAGCACAGCCTGGTGATTAGGACGGTGCAGTCTGGGGCCATATAGATTGTGTGGCCTTTACCTGCCAGAGTACACAAGATCACAACAGCACCTGCCTCTGGGTTGTTGTGAGGATGAGATCAAAGAAATCCTACAATTAACTTGGTGTGTAGAGGAATCCAGAGTGTTGAAAGCCTAACTATTCCACGTCCCTGGGGCCCAGGCTATCAGTAGCTGACTTTGCCCCCAGGCCTGCTGCTGGAAGGTGCTAGAATTGCCTGGGTACAGCTGGGCAGGAGGATGGGCCCAGGATGAGCTGAGCAGTTGACCCCTGCTACCCTCGCAGGGTTACCCACCACTGACGAAGATCCTGGCAAGTTTCTTTGGGAAGCTGCTGGGTCAGGAGATGGACCCGCTCAGGAATGTGCTGGTGACTGTTGGTGCCTACGGGGCCCTGTTCACAGCCTTCCAGGCACTGGTGGACGAAGGAGACGAGGTGAGTTGGCAAGATGTGGGCTGAGTGGGAGCGAGAGGCCAGGGCCATGCTGCCTCCAGCTGATTTGACCCTTGTATCAGGTCATCATCATCGAACCCTGTTTTGACTGCTACGAGCCCATGACATTGATGGCAGGGGGTCGCCCTGTGTTTGTGCTCCTGAAGCCGGTAAGGATGCTGGGCAGAGGGTGGATGGGCAGGGGGCTCCAAGGCATGGGCTAAGTTGGACTCTGGGAGTTGGGAAAGGAGGAAGGAAGTGAAGGAAGCCAGTTCCCCTAAGCTGGGAGGGCAGAGGGGAGGGGTGTGTGTTGGGAGTCCAGGGGAGGGAAGGTGGGGGCAGAAGCTGGGGGAGGAGCTGCATGTCAGGTGGGTAAGTGGTGCCACCCCCTGCCACCTGCTCTTGCAGAGTCCCAGCCAGAATGGAGAACTGGGTTCCAGCAGCAACTGGCAGCTGGACCCCACAGAGCTGGCCAGCAAATTCACATCACGCACCAAAGCGCTGGTCCTCAACACCCCCAACAACCCCATGGGCAAGGTACTGGAGAGACTTCCTTCCATCGCCCCCCGCAGACCTGGTCACGTCTCCCGCATCGTTACTGCGTTGCTGCTGTGGGGCCTCCGTTTCTTCATTTGTGTGTGGGAGGGCCATGCACGATGAGTCTGAGAACCAAGGCTCCAGAGGTCCAGGGAGGGGCAGGAATCCCCAGGGAAGGCCTGAGGGCTGGGAGCCCCCATCACTTCCCAGTGACCCTGGGATAGTGACTGTGCCTCTCAAAGTATCTTATCTGTAATATGGGAACCTGAGAGAACTGACTTCATGGGGTCAATGTTGCAGGGATCCAATGGGATGGTGTGAAACAGCCCTTAGCACTGGGCCTGGCTGTATTTGCTATTTATTTATTTATTTATTTTTCTGAGACAGAGTCTCACTCTGTCTCCCAGGCTACAGTGCAGTGGCGCGACCTCAGCTCACTGCAACCTAGGCCTCCTGAGTTCAAGCAATTCTCCTGCTTCAGCCTCCCGACTAGCTGGAATTACAGGCACCTGCCACCACACCCAGCTAATTTTTGTATTTTTAGTAGAGACGGGGGTTCACCATGTTGGCCAGGCTGGTCTCAAGCTCCTGACCACAAATGATCCACCACCTCGGCCTCCCAAAGTGTTGGTATTTACAGGCATGAGCCACCGTACCTGGCTGCAGCTATATTCTTTAACCTCTCTGAGTAGGCCTCTGCGTTTGGGGATGGTCTCAGCTGCAGGTCTGTGCTCTCCTTGGGCCTCTGCAGGTGTTCTCCAGGGAAGAGCTGGGGCTAGTGGCCAGCCTGTGCCAGCAGCATGACGTGGTATGCATCACTGATGAAGTCTACCAGTGGCTGGTCTACGATGGGCACCAGCACATCAGCATTGGTGAGCCGAGCCCGTCCGGAGCCCCTTCCCTGCACATTGGTGGCAGGGACTTGACCCCGCTTGAGAGTCAGCACAGGCCTGGTAGTTAGAACCCAGTGTTCTGAAGCCCTGCAGATCTTGTGACCTTTGCCTCCCAGAGTACACAGGATCACAGTAGCGCCTGCCTCCTTGGGTGTGGAAAGGATGGGATTAAGAAATCCTAGGCAAGGAGCAGTGGCTCATGCCTGTAATCCCAGCACTCTTGGAGGCTGAGGCCAGCAGATCACTTGAGGTCAGGAGTTCAACACCAGCCTGACCAACCAGGCGAAACCCTGTCTCTATTAAAAATGCAAAAATTAGCTGGGCATGGTGGCGCGTGCCTGTAGTTGCAGCTACTTGGGAAGCTGAGGTAAGAGGATCATTTGAACCCAGGAGGCAGAGGTTGCAGTGAGCCGAGATGGCACCATTGCACTCCTGCCTGGGCAACAGAGTGACACTCTGCTCAAAAAAAAAAAAAAAAAAAAGAAAAAAAGAAAGAAAGAAAGAAAGAAATCCTGCAAATAGCTTAGTGTGTAGAGGAATCCAGGATGTCAAGAGCCTATGTGTGTCCCCTGGGGCCCCAGCCACCACCCTCCCCTTCCCCCCTCACCACCATCTCAGCAGCTGCTCTATTTGGCCTTGGGCAGCCAGCCTCCCTGGCATGTGGGAACGGACCCTGACCATTGGCAGCGCCGGCAAGACCTTTAGCGCCACTGGCTGGAAGGTGAGTAGCTGAGGGTGGGAGGTCACTGCCCTCTACAAGATCCCTGGCAGGTGAGGTGGTCCTAGGACTGAGGAAGGCTGAAGCTGGGCCTGGAAGGTCCTCACCCCCTACTGGTGTTCCTGCTCCAGGTGGGCTGGGTCCTGGGTCCAGATCATATCATGAAGCACCTGCGGACTGTGCACCAGAACTCCGTCTTCCACTGCCCCACACAGAGCCAGGTAGGAGACCTCATGGCAGGGTAGGGGGACAACAAAAGCACCCTGGCTGGCCCCCACATCAGGGGACAGCTGATCTATGTGCGTGTCTGCCATGCCTAGGCCGCAGTAGCCGAGAGCTTTGAGCGGGAGCAGCTGCTCTTCGGCCAACCCAGCAGCTACTTCGTGCAGTTCCCGCAGGCCATGCAGCGCTGCCGTGACCACATGATCCGCAGCATACAGTCAGTGGGGCTGAAGCCCGTCATCCCCCAGGGCAGCTACTTCCTCGTCACAGACATCTCAGACTTCAGTGAGTGAGACTGGCCGGTCTGGGCAGGGTGCAGGGGCTAGAGGCTGCAGGGGGCTCAGTGTGGCCTCTGTCTCCCAGAGAGGAAGATGCCTGACCTGCCTGGAGCTGTGGATGAGCCCTATGACAGCCGCTTCGTCAAGTGGATGATCAAGAACAAGGTGGGCTGGGCCACTGCTGGGCTGCCATGTATGGTTTCACAGGTTGTCTGTTGCCCAAGGGTACCCAGCCAAGAGGCTCCTGGGCCAGATCCTAGTCCAGCCTCTGCCATGAACCCTGGAGCAGGGTTGCATCCACTTCAAACAATAAGGAGCCTGTTTCTTTCTTTTTGTATTTTTTTTTTCTTGAGACAGAGTCTCACTCTTGCCTAGGCTGGAGTGCAGTGATGCGATCTGGGCTCACTGCAACCTTCACCTCCAGGGTTCAAGCGATTCTCCTTCCTTAGACCCCCAAGTAGCAGGCATTACAGGCATGCTTCACCACACCTGGCTAATTTTTGTATTTTTAGTAGAGACAGACTTTCACCATGTTGGTCAGGCTGGTTTCTCAAACTCCTGACCTCAGGTGACCCAAGCTCCTCTCGGCCTCCCAAAGTGCTGAGATTACAAGCATGAGCTACCATGCTCAGCCAGAGGAACCTGTTTCTAACTTGCACAGAGATGGGGTGTGGGCTGGCAGGATTTTCTGTCTCATTGGGTCTCCATCTTCCCATGTGTGCAGTGAGGAGCTGGCCCATGAACTCAGGTCCGTCCCGGTTCCTTCTCTGACTATAAGGCTTAGTTCTTCTCTGGCTCTGCCCTGACCTGCTCCATGATCCTCCCTCTCTCAGCTTCCATCTGCCTTCTGTACCCAGGGAGGGACTTGGAATGACACTCTGGGATTCTTTTCCCCTGACTTTGTGGAGGTTTTTTGTTTTCTGGTTTTTTTGTCTTTGAGACAGTTTTGCTTTTCTGTCCAGGCTGAAGTGAAATGGCCTGATCTCAGCTTACGGCAACCTCCGCCCCTCCAGGTTCAAGCGATTCTCCTACCTCAGCCTCCCAAGTAGCTGGGATTACAGGCATACACCACAACGCCCAGCTACTTTTTGTATTTTTAGTAGAGACAGGGTTTCCCCATGTTGGCCAGGCTGCTCAAACTCCTGACCTCAGGTGATCTACCTGTCCTCGCCTCCCAAAGTGCTAGGATTACAGGCCACCACGTCCCGCCCTTTTCCTCTGACTTTGACCTTGATGTAGCACTCGGTGCTGGGTTGGAGCCAACTCTCGTTCCCCAGTTGGTCATGGGAACCTCTCTGTCCCGCCGGAGCTGAGGCCTGCTTGGCCATGAGGCCGTGTTGAGACATGTCATTCCTCCTCTGCAGGGCTTGGTGGCCATCCCAGTCTCCGTCTTCTGTAGTGTGCCACATAAGAAGCACTTTGACCACTATATCCGCTTCTGTTTTGTGAAGGTAAAGGGCGGGACTGGGGGAGGAAAGACCTCACAGAGCTTCCCAAGGCCCCCTGGGCACATGGGGAGAGGGTCGGACCCTTCTGTGTTGGTGCAGGACGAAGCCACGCTCCAGGCCATGGATGAGAAGCTGCGGAAGTGGAAGGCGGAGCTCTAGCCCTGAAGTCACGCCCTTGGCCCTCCACAGAGATGCTCTTTGGGTGTCTGTCCATGTTTCAGCCATGTCTAGGTCAGGGAAGACAGTATTGGGAAACCTCTTTATGACACAGAATGTTCTGGGCAGGAGCCGCCTGTCTTCATCATAGAGAACCAAGTGCCTCCTGTTTGAGAGGTGAGGGTCGGTCTGACCTGGGCCTTTCCCTGCGCCTCCATAGGTGGGTTTGTAGGGTCTTGGGTTGCTTCTGGTCTCTCCAGGCTTGGCTGAGTCCGGAGGGCAGAGTCCCACAATGTATTGATCACATCACAGCCCTGCTAACGCTCAGGCACAACCTCACCTTTTCTGGCTCATCTTGGCCTTGGAAGCTGCCTTTAGGCTTGAGTCCTCCTTTTCATCCATAATAAAATGTTTAAGTTATTCGAATCCTTATTGATGGCTTCTCTCTGCTTCACGCTCGTGCTAATGGCTGATGTAACTTGATAAAAATGCCCAGGAAAACCTCAGACAACCCCCAACTTTGTACCAATGGTTTCTGTAGTCACATAGTTAGTGGCACAACCAGGCCTAGAACCCAAGACCCTCAAATTAATTCCTCACTATTAATCTTTTTTTTTGAGACCGAGTCTCGCTCTGTCACCCAGGCTGGAGTGCAGTGGCGCATGCTCGGCTCACTGTAACCTCCACCTCCCAGATTCAAGCCATTCTCCTGCCTCAGCCTCCTGAGTAACTGGGACTACAAGCACCTGCCACCACGCCCAGCTAATTTTTGTGTTTTTTTGGAAATGGGGTTTCGCCATGTTGGACAGGCTGGTATCAAACTCCTGATCTGAGGTCATCTGCCTGCCTTGGTCTTCCAGTGTGCCGGGATTACAAGCCTGAACCACCAAACTTGGAGTCTGATATTAATCTGATGGTAGCCGTTACTGGTGCTGGGTGTGGTGGCTGGGGTAGGGGGTGTCATGTGTGTGTTGGGGGGGGATTGGGGCTTGTGACAAGGAAGACATGAACATTCCCACGGGGGTGAGAGAATAGCAGAGTGAGGGCCAGGAGGACCAGGGACTTAACATAATTCACAGGGGAGGAGGAATGCATGTTGACTGTGCAAGCCCTGTCTGCCAGGATGCCCATCATCTTAATCCTCTGAGACTGAGACCTGAGTTATCTCCAGTTCACAAGTGAGGAAAGCATTCTGAAGGTAAGGTGAAGTGACATGCCCAGGCCTTCTAGCTGGCCCAGTGTGTGTCTCACTGGATAGCAGTGGCAGCTCCTGAATTCCTTGGGAAGGTGGTATTAGAGGCCTTACCTTGAAGTTGCATTTGCGTAGCAGACACATGGGTTTGGCTCATATCATATGTTTAACTGATAGGAACATATCATATAATAAAATACACATTTGGTCTTTGCCCTTAGTAAAGAATTCCTTGGCTGGTCACAGTGGCTCACACCTGTAATCCCAACACTTTGGGAGGCCAAGGCAGGCAGATCACAAGGTCAGGAATTCAAGACCATCCTGGCCAATATGGCGAAACCTTGTCTCTACTAAAAATATAAAAAAATTACTCATGCCTGTAATCGGCCGGGTGCGGTGGCTCAAGCCTGTAATCCCAGCACTTTGGGAGGCCGAGGCGGGTGGATCACGAGGTCAAGAGATGGAGACCATTCTGGTCAACATGGTGAAACCCTGTCTCTACTAAAAATACTAAAAATTAGCTGGACATGGCGGCACGTGCCTGTAATCCTAGCTACTCAGGAGGCTGAGGCAGGACAATTGCTTGAACCCAGGAGGCAGAGGCTGCGGTGAGCCAAGGTCGTGCCATTGCACTCCAGCCTGCGTAACAAGAGTGAAACTCCGCCTCAAAAAAAAAAAAAAAAAAAAAAAATTAGCTGGGAGTGGTGGTGCACACCTGTAATCCCAGATACTGAGGAGGCTGAGGCAGGAAAATCTGTTGAACCTGGGAGGCAGAGGTTGTAGTGAGCCAACATCGCACCATTGCACTCCAGCCTACGAGACAGTGAAAGACAAAAAAAAAAAAAAAAAAAAAAAAAAAAGAATTCCTAAAATCGTTGGAGTCTCTGGATGATAGGCATGTCTTCCTAGTCACATGGAACCGCTCTGTACTGTGCACTTACAGGGTCAGAAATTTTAGCCTGTCACCCCGTTCATCTCTGGCTCCAGGGGGAGTGGGGGGGTGAAGGACTAGACTTTGAGTGCAATTACATGGTCCATATCTTTTTATTGTTGTTGTTTTCAGGGGTTTTTTGCATTTTTTTTCTCACGTGGCCGATGTCTTAGTCATGCTTACAAAACAAACCCGTCAAAAAATCACAACAAATTTAGTATAAGATCTAAATTGGGCCAGGCCTGGTGGCTCACACCTATAATCCCAGTGCTTTGGGAGGCTGGGGCAGGAGGCTCTCCCGAGGCCAGAAGTTAGAGACCAGCCTACATCTCTACTAAAAATGCAAAAATTAGCCGGGCATGGTGACACACACCTGTAATCTCAGCTACTACTTGGGAGGCTGAGGCACTAGAATTGCTTGAACCTGGGAGGCTGAGGTTGCAGTGAGCCAACATTGCACCACTGTACTCCAGCACGGGCAACAGGGCAAGACTCCCTCTCAAAAAAAAAAAAAATCACTAATGGCTCACTTCTGTAACTTCAGCACTTTGGGAAGCCAAGTTGGGGGATTGCTTGAACGCAGGAGTTCAAGACCAGCCCTGGCAACATAGTGAGACACCACCTGTACAAAAAGAAAAAAAATTAGGTGTGCATAGTGGCTCACACTTGTAATCCCAACTAATAAAGTATGTTAATTAAAAGAGAAAGAGGCCCCGTGCAGGTGGCTCTTGCCTATAATCCCAGCACTTTGAGAGGCCAAGGCGGGCGGATCACTGAGGTCAGGAGTTCCACTAGGCTGGCCAACATGGCGAAACCCTGTCTCTACTAAAAACACACACACACAAATTAGCTGAGCATGGTGGTGCGCGCCTGTAGTCCCAGCTACCTGGGAGCCTGAAGCAGGAGAATTGCTTGAACCCAGGAGATGGAGGGAGATTGCAGTAAGCTGAGATCGCGCCATTGCACTCCAGCCTGGGCGATGGAGCGAGACTGTCTCAAACAAAAAAACTGTACATGAATAATCTATAAACCTGGATTAAATTATATCATTTTCAGCTCTGACTCACACTGCAGTTCAAGGCCCGAGGGTCCCCATGTATAAAGCCTTACGAAAGCCAGGCGGGGTGGTACACTGCATGCCTGTGGAACCAGCCTCGGCAACATATCAAGACCTTGTCTCAAAAAAATAATTTTAAAAACAAACTACGCAGAGGTCTGAGTGTTGTAATTGTCCGAACTTAGAGGAGGGCTCTGAGCCATCCAAGGTTCAGGACAGTAACCGCAATGCCAAACATTTGGGCACCTACTCCACCCAACCCCTACCGGCCTACAGGCTCCTGGAGCCGCCAGGCGCTTAGGCCACGCCCCCGTGAGCATTGGTTCTCCGATTGGACAGCTTGATGGAGGTGTGGCCGGAAGAGGAGAGTCTCATTGGCAGGGGCGTGGCTGACGGTCTGTGCGGAACATGGCGGAGCGCGGGAGAAAGCGCCCGTGCGGCCCGGTAAGTGCGGGCAGCGGGACCCCGCGCAGGGCAACAGGGTGGAGGCGTGACAACTAGCGGCGCGGGGGCCTGCGCCGGGGCCGGGCCGCGCCTTCTGCTTCCTGCTTCCCGCTGATCCCGGGCCGGAAGCCCTAAAGGTGCCGCGTGAGCCGCTGCGGGATGGGAACAGCGCCGGTGTCCTCCCCGGAGCCCCCGAGGGCTCCCTGGCCCCCGCTGGATTACGGAGGCGGGACTCAGCTCGCAATCTTGAATTCGGAGCCCTTTCGTGGCTATGTCTTCTGACTTCCAGGGCGACTGTGGACAGTCCTGTCCCCTGAGCCTCAGTTTTCTCTTCTGTGGGAATTCATTGGACAGTTTCTTGAGTGCTCTCTGTGTGCCAGGCCGGGTTCCAGGCACTGGCGAAACAGCGGGTCCCTGCCCTCCTGCCGCTTTCTGGGGCAGCAGTTTGCAGAAGTTCCTTGACTTCCTTGTCGCCCCATGTGGAGGGGCTGGCTGTGGAGGAGCAAGCGGAACCCCTCCAGGTGTGACCAGCCTCACACTCAATCCTCCTCCCACTCCTCCAGGGTGAACACGGCCAAAGGATTGAGTGGCGAAAATGGAAGCAACAGAGTAAGTAAGGGTGGGGAGTATCTGCGCCCACCCTTCCCGTAGACCACTCTCAGCAGTGCTCAGTCAAACCTTGGAGAAAGACACCAACTGTGTCCCCTCTGGGTCCTACAGCACCCAAAGTTGGGAGGCAGGGGCCAGGAGCCCTGGGGAGCCCCCTTGCTGCCCTCTGGCTGCTCACCTAGCAGCTCTGCAGAGTCCAGGCTGACCCAATGAGTGGGAACTATCTCCTCCGACAATCGGGATGTTCTCTTATTTAGAGAAAGAGGAGAAAAAGAAATGGAAGGATCTCAAGCTGACGAAAAAACTGGAGCGGCAGCGGGCACAGGAGGAACAGGCAAAGCGCCAGGAAGAGGAGGAAGCAGTGGCAGAGAGGGAGGACCGCGGTGAGCTGGGGCCTTAGAGAGGGCCACAGGTTGTGGCCTACAGTAGATGTCCTGCAGGCAGAGCAGAGGCGTCATATCTGGAAGGGCCTTTACAGACTAATAGGTCCAAACATCTTGTCCTGATGGAGAAACTGGGGCCCAGAGAAGGGAGGGAGCCAGCTAACTGAGTTCTGATTTACTGCTTAGGTAAATTTCCAGCCTATGGAATGTAAGCCTCATCTCTCTCTCTCTCTCTCTCTCTCTCTGTTTTTGTTTGTTTGTTTTAGACAGAGTCTTGCTCTGTCGCCCAGACTAGAGTGCAATGGCACCATTTCTGCTCACTGCAACCTCCACTGCCCAAGTTCAAGCAATTTTCTTCTCTCGGCCTCCCAAGTAGTTGGGATTACAGGAGTGTGCCACCACACCTGGCTAATTTTTGTATTATTAGTAGATACATGGTTGCACCATGTTGGCCAGGCTGGTCTCGAATTTCTGATCTCAGGTGATCCATCCACCTCAGCCTCCCAAAGTGCTGGGATTAGAGGTGTGAGCCACCAAGCCCAGCCCAAGCCTAGTATCTCTTTTTCTTTTCTTTTCTTTTTTTTTTTTTTTTTTTTTTTTTGAGACAGAGTTTCACTCTTGTTACCCAGGCTGGAGTGCAACGGCGCGACCTCGGCTCACTGCAACCTCCACCTCCTGGGTTCAGGCAATTCTCTTGCTTCAGCCTCCTGAGTAGCTGGGATTACAGGCACGCGCCACCATGCCCAGCTAATTTTTTGTATTTTTAGTAGAGACGGGGTTTCACCATGTTGACCAGGATGGTCTCGATCTCTTGACCTCATGATCCACCCTCCTCAGCCTCCCAAAGTTCTGGGATTACAGGCTTGAGCCACCGCGCCTGGCCAAGCCTAGTATCTCTTAACTTAGACCTCTAGAACTTCATGATCTTCATGATTTTTTAAATTTATTGACCATTTTCTGTGTGCTTTACTTTCATTTTTCATTTAATTATTTTGATTTCATAATGACAAAACTACAAAGGAACAATCCTAGCAAACATTGTAGCAAGTTCATCCAGACAGTTACATCTATTTATCCTAAAGTGTAGATACAATGTTACAACAGTGAAATCATGTTATCTAAGTGCTTCCTCCACTTTTTTTTTTTTTGAAGACAGAGTTTCACTCTTGTTTTCCAAGCTGGAATGCAATGGCACAATCTCAGCTCACTGCAACCTCGGCCTCCCAAGTTAAAGCTATTCTCCTACTTCAGCCTCCCAGGTAGCTGGGACTACAGGCATGTGCCACCATGCCTGGCTAATTTTTTGTATTTAGTGGAGACAGGGTTTCACCATGTTGGTCAGGCTGGTCTCGAACTCCTGACCTGAGGTAAGCCACTGCGCCCGGTCATTTTTTTTTTTTTTTTGAGACATAGTCTCACTCTCTTGCCCAGGCTGGAGTGCAATGGCACAATTTCAGCTCACTGCAACTTCCACCTCCTGGGTTTAAGCGATTCTCTTGCCTCAGCCTCCCAAGTAGCTGGGATTATAGGCATGTGCCACCATGCTCTGCTAGTTTTTGTATTTTTAGTACAGATGACATTTCGCCATTTCGGCCAGGCTGGTCTTGAACTCCTGACCTCAGGTGATCCGCCTGCCTCAGCTTCCCAAAGTGCTGGGATTATAGGAGTAAGCCACCTTTTGTGATACCTTGGGCCATGTGTTTGACTTCCTGGTGCTGAATGTTCCTCGCCTGTAAATGGGGATAATGGCAGTGTCCTCACTGGGTTGAGGTTAATGGCCATCGAGTTAACGTGCACACGCAAAAGGCTTATTAGATACCAGCTTACATTTGATCCCCATTTGATAGCTGGAGAACTGAGGGAGTTAGGGGGACAGGATATGAATTTAGGCCACTGCTGGTGCCCACTCCACAGCCTCACCCGTGGTCTGCCCTGCTCAAAGGAGCCTCAGAGATTGCTGCATCATTTTCCTCCTGGGAGACCGAGGCCCAGAGAGGGGACGTGGATCTATTTTGCTCACCTCAAAATTCCTCCCATTTGGGAAATTCTCTAACCTTGGGCACTGGTGACAAAGGAAGGGAGAGGAGGGTGGGGGGCCCTCGCCTCTCGGGCTGACTGGGAACACCCCTTCCTTCAGGGCGGCCCTACACCTTAAGCATAGCCCTGCCGGGCTCCATCCTGGACAACGCCCAGTCGCCGGAGCTTCGCACCTACCTGGCCGGTCAGATTGCCAGAGCCTGCGCCATCTTCTGTGTGGATGAGATTGTGGTGTTTGATGAGGAGGGCCAGGATGCCAAGTGAGGGGCCATCCCACAGGGTGCCAGGGCTCAGGGAGAGGGAGGGGCTGCCAGGATGGGCCAAGGCTTCGCCCTGCCCCCCACCACACGCCTGGCTCTTCCCTCATGCCCTGCCTTATCTGTATCCTTAGTGGGTAGAGTTGCTGGGTGAGGGTGATGACTGCAGAGGTGGGATTGGGAGCCAGAGGCCTAAACCCATACCTCAGCTGTCACCCAGGCTGGAGTGCAGTGGCACAGTCATGGCTCACTGTGGCCTCTACTTCCTGGGCTCAGGTGATCCTCCCAACTCAGCCTCCTGAGAAGCTTCGATTATAGGGAGGAGCTCTTGAAGGGGCCACAGCTGGATCCTGAGCCCCCATCTCTCTCTCCAGGACTGTGGAGGGGCAATTCACAGGAGTTGGCAAGAAGGGGCAGGCGTGCGTGCAGTTGGCCCGGATCCTGCAGTACCTGGAGTGTCCGCAGTAAGGGGGTCTCCCCAGAGCAGGAGGGAGGGTTGTGTCAAAGTAGAGGCCAGGTAGGAGGCAGCTTCCCCTGGGAACATCCTTAGGTCAGCATTCTTTCCCAGGTACCTGAGGAAGGCGTTCTTTCCCAAGCACCAGGATCTACAGTTTGCAGGTAAGGTTGTGTGGGCCCACCCCCCATTTCCCCTGGATGGTGCCACAGACACTGAGAGACCACCCAGTCCTACCCCGCACTATCCAGGTGGGAAAGCAGGCCCAGGAGAGCAAGACCTGTGCCTGATGCCAAGCTGCAGGTCTGTGGCAGAGCTGAGCCTCTGCTCCAGCGTCCCCACTGCACCCTGTGTGCCCAGCAGTTCCCAGACTCCTCCCGGCCCTGCCTCCACAGGGCTCCTGAACCCCTTGGACAGCCCCCACCACGTGCGTCAGGACGAGGAATCCGAGTTCAGAGAGGGCGTCGTGGTGGATCGGCCCACCAGGCCAGGCCACGGCTCCTTTGTTAACTGTGGCATGAAAAAGGTAGGAACAAAAAGGTGGGCTGGGACACACCTCCAGGACACATCCTGGCAATGGAGGGCAAGCAGGGGGGTGTTGGGGGAGCCCTGGACCTGCCCGAAATCCCTCACTCATGCAAATTTGGGCCAGAGAATTGTGCAAAATGGGGCTCAATAGATAAACCCAGGAATGAATTCACTGTTGCTTAAAAAGCAAATCAACAGAAGACAGTCCTCATGATCCAAACAAAACCCTGCAGAAACAAGCTGAAAGTCACCCTGGAGCTGCTCCCATGTGGCGCAGAGTCAAGCTGGGACGGGGCCATTCATCTGCCACCTCTTTATCCTCAAGTCAGAGACAGAAACATGCATGTGTATGGGGTCCCCCTCCTGTCAGAAAGCACAAGCCAGGCGCAGTGGCTCACCCCTGTAATCTCAGCACTTTGGGAGACTGAGGCAGGCGGATCACTTGAGGTCAGAAGTTCAAGACCAGCCTGGCCAACATGGTGATACCCCGTCTCTACTAAAAGTACAAAAATTAGCCAGGTGTGGTGGCGTGCCTGTAATCCCAGCTACTCCGGAAGCTGAGGCAGGAGATTCACTCGAACCCGGGAGACAGAGGGGGCAGTGAGACGAGACCATGCCCCTGCACTCTACCCTAGGTGACAGCAAGACTGCGTCTCAAAAAACAAATGGCAGAGCTACCGAAATGTAGAAAACTGGGTTTCATCTACTTCTACGCTGTGCCATGAGCGCCCCAGACGTGCATGTTTGGCCAGTGGCCTGTGTTTTGCATAAATCGTTTCTTGTGAACAGGTCCCCCCAGTGCCAGGGGTAGAGGGTGCCAGGTTGACCTGGACCCCTGGACCCCTTGCTAACCCCAGGACTCCCCTGGCAGCATCTGAAAGAGCCATGACCCCTGATGATCATGAGGGGAATGGCACTCATTTCTTCTGGCTTCTCCCCAGGAGGTGAAGATCGATAGGAACCTGGAGCCCGGGCTTCGAGTGACCGTGCGACTGAACCAGCAGCAGCTGCCAGGTATCTGGAAGGTTCCCTAGTCCCTGGGTTGGCCTGACCAGCTCCACGGCTCAAAGCCACCTCCTTCCATTCCCTGTCCCGTCACCCCGTCTTACAGACTGTGTTACCCCTCCAGAATGCAAGACCTACCGTGGCAAGGTGGTATCATCGCAGGACCCTCGCACCAAAGCTGGTCTCTACTGGGGCTACACCGTCCGTCTGGCCTCCTGCCTCAGTAAGGACAGAGCTGCCTTCTCCGAATATCCATCCATCTCTCTGGGAGGTGGCTGGGAGCCTTGCCTGACCCAAATATCAGACCAAGGTTCTTGTCCTGCCAACGTGCTGTGTGTCCCTGGGCAAGTGCTTTTCCTTCTCTGGGCCTTGTTCTCCCTGGACGCACTGCCTGCTGAGCAAAAGTATCGTCATTGATTCGTAATGTTTCTGTGGGGTTGGGAAGCGGGGCTAAAGGGCCAGAAATGTCAGAGGCCCACTTCGTGCTCTTGTCTCCAGCCTGGGTGACAGCTGAGGTATGGGTTTAGGCCTCTGGTGCCCAATCCCACCTCTGCAGTCATCACCCCCACCCAGCAACTCTACCCACTAAGGATTACAGAGGGAGTATTTCAGGCAGGGCATGAGGGAAGAGCAGAGGGCAGAGACTGGATAGAACAGACCTTCCTTTCCAGTCTGCACTATTTCCCAGCCAAGCACAGGCTTGGTCTCCGTCCTGCTCAGTCCTTGACTTCTCAGGAACAGCTCTACACCCCCCCTCCCCACCCCCACCCCCACACCGCTGCTTCAGTACACACACATGCCCCAAGCTGTGGCTTGTGGGGGAGCAGGACCCGCCCTGAGCTGGCCCCATCCCCAGGTGCTGTGTTTGCTGAAGCCCCCTTCCAAGATGGGTATGACCTGACCATCGGGACTTCAGAACGCGGCTCAGATGTGGCCTCTGCCCAGCTTCCCAACTTCAGGTGGGTACCTCCTGGGGCCGGGGCCAGGCCAGGAACCTACATGGTGGGTGAAGCTACCCCGAAGGGCCCCTGCTGTCTGGGGTGGGGAGGGACTGAAGTTGGGCGCTGTGCTCAGTGGGGCCTTGATGAGCACTTGAGTCACCCCCTCTTGCACGTGCCAGGCATGCTCTTGTGGTGTTCGGGGGCCTCCAGGGGCTGGAAGCTGGAGTGGATGCTGACCCCAACCTGGAGGTGGCTGAACCCAGTGTCCTCTTTGACTTGTACGTCAACACGTGTCCTGGCCAGGGGAGCCGCACCATCCGCACGGAGGTGAGCCCACCTGCCTCCCCGCCGCCAGCCGCTGGGGCCTCAGGATCGCTCCAAGTAGGGGCTGCCACTCTTGCCCTTCCACTCACCCTTGCCGGTGGCTGCCTTGTCTGGGGGTGGTCCTCTCACCGCCTCTCAGCCTCTGACCACAGCAGTCTCGTGGCAGGGACAGGACATGACCTTATACCCAACACTGCATCAGGCGGAGTACAGCTAGGAGTCAGCCCTGGGTGCGAGCGCCCGTCCTGGGCTTCTAGGATATGTGACCTAGGGGCTCTGCCCACCCCTGCTCTGGCCTCTGCGTCCTTAGCTGTGCGCATTCGGTGATCTTCCAGGGTTCTGGTTCTGTCCCTTGTGTGTGACCATGGTGGCCACAGCAACACTCCCCTTGGGGTTTCACTTGCATCTGTCCCACAGGGGAAGCTGCGTGCAGTTGGAGCCTTCCCAGGGACGGCTCTACCCACCCCTGGGCCTTATGGAACCTATGCAGTCACTTCTGGAGTCAGGCATAGGACACTGTGCTATGGGCGCTCTGCTGGGGCGGCTGGTACTCCCATCAGTCCCGCAGCGTGGCCAGCCCTGTCTACCCATCCCTAAGGCCTTGTCCAGGCCAAGCGCTCTGAGCCTGCCAGCCATATGCCCCAGCAAGAACCGTGGCCCCCACCCTTCCAACACCTGTGTGAGGGCTGAGAACTTCCTGCCCATCTCCTTGACCTCCCCTGGCCCGGGGAGGTGGGCATTGCTACCTTCACCCCCATTTTACAGAAGCGGAGACTGAGGAGCAGGCTGTGTGGCTCTCCAGGTGGCAGGTGTGCAGTGTGAACCTGGGCCTGTCAACCTCACCAGGCCCTGCTAAGGACAGTGGGCCCAGTGGGCTGCGTCTTGGGCAGCCAGCCTCTGAAGACAGGTTGGGAGCGGGGGCACCCGCTGGTCTCCAGGCCCCAGCCCACTGCCACATTTCTCTTCCAGGAAGCCATCCTCATCTCCCTGGCTGCCCTGCAGCCTGGCCTCACCCAGGCAGGTGCCCGCCACACCTGAACGTTCTAAGGGGCCCAGGACATCAGTGAAGCAGTAGTGACAACAGGCTCTGCAGGTCACTTGGGACAGACACAGACAGAGTGGCTCCAAAAATCCCCACCTTTAATGTCCCCCAGCCTGTACACACCCACAGTCTCGCTGGGCTCTGCCCTCACTTGCTGCCTGCCGTGATGGCCTTGAGGCTGCCTGCTCGAGCCAGGATGTTTGGCACAAACAGCAGCCCCGAGGCCCGCTCGATGCTCTCAATGGGCACTAGGAAGCGCTCCAGGGGGATGGCCTCGTCCACAGGTGCGTTGGGCATCACATAGGAGTGAAGCTCGATTTGCCCGCCTGCTGCCTCCAGGATCAGCACCTTGAAGAAGTGTGTGGGCACTGCCACATGGTTCTTGCCAATGACCTGGTACTTCACATAGGATTTCCCATCAGCCTCTGTCCTGTGGGCAGACCCAGGCACACATGGGCAGGAGGCCTGGTTGAACCCAAGGCCACCTCTTCCAGGAAGCCTTCCCTGATCTGTCCTCTAACTTCTGTCAAGCTAGCGGACCACCCTCTCACTGTGAGGCTTCTTTGCCCTGCCTGGCTCCTGCTTGAGGCTAGAACCCTCTTCAGGGTGGAGGCTAACTCTTTCCCTCTGTTTGCCTCATGCCCAACACGGGGTCACGCGGAGTGGGTGACAATAAATGCTGCTAGAAGAATTGAGCCTTCTGAATATTCACATTCCTCTGGGGGGACACTTAACGACTGTCCGTCTCTCCCCATGGAGGTGAGCACCAAGTGAGCGAGGACCATGACACTGGATGAGGGCTTCCCCTCAGCAGAGTCTCCTCCCTTGCCGCGGGTCATAGGAGGCACCTGCTAATGAAATTTGATCAGTGCCCCAACCACTGCCTTGGCCAGCCCGTGCTAAGCCCTTACCACGGGCCAGGCCCTGGGGAAGCATGTGACATCAGCCAAGAGGTCACAGGTTTTGGCCCTGTTTTGCAGCGGAGGACACAGGTCATTTGCCCACAGCACCAAGGGACTAGGTGATGAGGCCTAGAGTCCATCCTGAGCCTGTGGATTCCAGAGTGCGCTGCTCAGCCTCGACCTATTGCCTCCACAGTCCAGAGAAACCACGGAGCATGGCCAGCGGTGCTCAGTCGCTTCCACCTGGGAGGCCAGGGTGGCGGCCCCGGGTCAGGCAGATCCGATTTCCAACTCCTGAGAAGGGTGGAGGAAAGCGCTCCAAGCAGAGCGGAGACCGAAGGTGGGAGAGCTTGGTGCACCAGGGACCCGGAGGAGTTTCCATGAGAACAGGATTGAGTAGGTGTGCCAAGAGGTGACAGCAGGGAGAAGCGGGGGCAGATTCAGGGCCTGCTGCTGCCCATGGGCAGAGGAGAGGTGGTAGGAGGGACCCAAAGGGTCTCTGGCTGTGGAAGTGGAACGAGAGGACCCCAAGGGCAGGGAAACTGACAGACTTGCCAAGACACCAGATGAGTAGTGAACAGGTACTGACCCAAAGCCTGGCAAGCCTGGCCCTGTGAGTGACAGTAGGGGCCTTGAGTGGGAGGTCCTGCCACCCCCAGCCCCCTGGTTTCCACCTTACCTGGGCAGGAAGAGCGGCCCTGTGCAGACATAGACGTTCTGGTAGCTGCGGGTCAAGCTGCGGCTGTACTTCTCTAGGTTGTTCCAGGCATGCTGGTTGAGGTGGGGCGCCTGGGGGGAGAGGCGGGGCTCAGCGGGACTGTGGCTGGGGCCCTTCCTCCTCTACCAGGGCCCTGGGGGAGTGGACATGCCCAGGGATGCCCAGCGGGGGGCAAGCAAGAGGAAACTGAGGAGCAAGGAATGAAAGTCACTCCCTGAAGCCACATGGAGTGGGGCAGGGCTGACGAGTGCTAGCCGCAGCCCAGGTGTCAAAGCTCCCAAGAGCTCAATGAAGGAAGGAGCATGTCTCCACCTTTCAGAGAGAAGGACTGAGGCCTGTCCTCAGCCCCACCTGGGGGCTCATGGGAAGACCAGCCCTCCCAACCACCAACCCTTTCCTTTCCCAGTATGAGCCACAGAAGAACCTAGCTGGGAATGTTACGAATCTGCCTCCATCTTGAGCTCTTCAGGCCTTGGACAATGGAAAGGGGATAGGGGGCCGTGCTCTGGAAGGAGGCTGGGCCAGAGACTGCTGCCCCATGGGCTCCACCCAGAGCCCCAGGGCAGCCTCCATCCTCTGGTGCCAGGCTCTGCTGGGAACAGGCCAAGAGGGTGGCTGACCCAGGGTGTGCCTGGCACTAACAGCCTGATGGAGGCCGGGCGCGGTGGCTCAAGCCTGTAATCCCAGCACTTTGGGAGGCCGAGGCAGGTGGATCACGAGGTCGAGAGATCGAGACCATCCTGGTCAACATGGTGAAACCCCGTCTCTACTAAAAATACAAAAAATTAGCTGGGCATGGTGGCTCGTGCCTGTAATCCCAGCTACTCAGGAGGCTGAGGCAGGAGAATTGCCTGAACCCAGGAGGCGGAGGTTGCGGTGAGCCGAGATTGCGCCATTGCACTCCAGCCTGGGTAACAAGAGCAAAACTCCGTCTCAAAAAAAAAAAAAAAAAAAAAAAAAAAACCCTGATGGTAGGCCAAGTGTCTGCCTCGAAACTGATCCGAGGCAGCCAGTGTAGGACGATATCCGGAGGCCCACGGTTTTATAGACCAGGGGTCCCCAACACCTGGGCCACAGACTGGTACCAGAACTGGGCCACACACAGGAGGTGAACAGCAGACGAGCACCTGAAGCTTCACCTGTATTTACAGCCACGCCCCATCGTTTGCATGGCAGCCTGAGCTCCGCCTCCTGTCGGATCAGTGGCTGCAGGAGATTGTCAAAGAAGCTGGAAACCTATGGTGATTTGCGCATGCGAGGAGGCTGTGCGCTCCTTTTGAGAATCTAATGCCTGATCTGTCATTGTCGCCCATCACCTCCAGACAGGACTGTCTAGTCGCAGGGAAACAAGCTCAGGGCTCCCACTGATCCTAAATTACTGTGAGTTGTATATTTCACTCTATATTACAGTGTAATCATAACAGAAATAAAGGATGCACTTGAATCATCCTGAAACCTGCCCTGACCCACCAAGCCGTGGAAAAACTGTCTTCCACGAAACCGGACCCCGGGGCCAAAAAGGTTGAGGGCTGCGGTTCTACCCAGACTGCCTGCCTTCTGCTGTGTGACACTGTCCGTCGCTTTGCCTCTGTGAGCCTCAGCGCCGCATCACTACCGCCGGAGGAAGGTGAAGAACGGTACTGTTCCCATTTTGCAGACGAGGAAAGCGACGCTCCGGGGTGCCCAGGGTTCGCAGCTGGAGCTCAAGCCGGGCAGCGCCGCCGCCGGGAGCCCAGGGCTCCTTCCTCCCGCCACGGAGTGCGACTGCGAGCCCCGGCCGAGGGCGCATGGGCAGCTGCCCCGTCTGCAGAGGAATAAGCCGAGGCCCCGCATTCCGCGACCCGCGCAGGGCGGGGGCGCTACCTGGGGCGCGACGTTGCTCAGGTAGAACGTGTCGTCCATGGCCTTCTGGCTCCAGCGGTGGTTGGCGGCGGCGGCCAGGTGGCCGCGGTCGAAGCCGCTGCCGCGGTAGTCGGCGTTGGTGGCGCGGTGGTACGCATGCACCGAGTCGTCCTCGCGGAAGTCGCACGCGCGGCGGTCGCCGTCGCCGCGGAGCCGCTCGGGCCGCAGCTGCTCCACCACCCAGAGCGCGCCGCGGGTGCGCGGGTCGTAGCACAGCACGTACGACTCGCGGCTCTTGAGCTGCGCCAGCCCCGGCAGCCCGTACTTGGCCAGCTCGCCCGGGCCGCGGCCCGCGGGTCCCCCCGGCACGGCGGGCAAGTCAGCGGCCGCCGCCACGGGCAGCACGGGCAACCGACCCAGCAGCCCCGGCGCCACCGGCGCGTCCTCCCGCCGCCGCCGCCAGCTCTCGGCGGCCGCGCCCAGGCCCGCGCCCAGCGCCAGGGTCAGGCCGGCCCGCAGCACCCGCATGGCGTGGGGGCGACCTCCGGTGGGCGACCCAGGAGCTCTTAAAGGAGCCGCGCCGGGGGACCCACTGCCGGAACCGGGCTGCTGGGACCGCGGGCGATAGAGTGACTTCCCTACCACTCAGAAACGCTCCCCAGAGATTGGGACTCAGAACCCAGGGGGAGCAGCCGGCCCCAGGCGGGTGACCCAGACGCCCTTTCTCTGCGTATTTAGTATGCGGCCTGAGGGGCGTGGCACCCTCACCTCAGTTCGTAATTGGCCACCGTCAGGTCTAGCTCCGCCCCCATATCGCAGGCGCCCTGCCTGTCTGGGGGCGCCTCCTCCTCTGCGCCTGCGCCAGAACCTCCTGCTTAATAAGCACCTCGACAAGGTCCAGCAGTGTCGAGCGCTTTTATTGTCACTGCTTAGTCTCACCCTTTACACGGCCCGGAGAGGGAACTCCTAGCTGGTAGAGCAAGCACAGGGCCCCAGAAATATCTAGCCCCAGGCTATCTATCCTCCATGACACCAAAAATAAGCCCCGCGATTCTACCAAATTGGCAAAGGTTTTGTTTTGTTTTGTTTTGTGAGGGAGTTTCGTTATCGTTGCCCAGGCTGGGGTGCAAAGGCGCGATCTCAGCTCACGGCAACCTCCCCCTCTCTGGTTCAAGGGATTCTCCTGCCTCAGCCTCCCGAGTAGCTGGGATTACAGGCACGTGCCACCACACTCGGCTAATTTTTGTATTTTTAGTAGAGACGGGGTTTCATCATATTGTTCGGGCTGGTCTCCAACTCTTGACCTCGTGATCTGCCCGCGTTGGCCTCCCAAAGTGCTGGGATTACAGGTGGAGACCCGCTGAAGCTTTTAAAATATATTTTGAAGTCAGGTAATGTGATAGCTCCAGCTTTATACTTTGTTGTTTGTGTGGCGTTTATTTGTGAGAACTCAGGGGTGTCGCTCTACTGCCCAGGCTAGAGTGCAATGGTGCAATCACAGCACACTGCAACTTCTGGCTCTCAGGCTTAAAGCAGCCTCCCTGGAGCTGGGACTACAAGCATGTGTCACTACACTCAGCTTTTTTTCTTTTCCTTTTTTTGGAGCGACAGGATTTTGCCAAGTTGCTCAGGCTGGTCTCAAATTTCTGAGCTCAAGTGATCTGCCCTCCTCAGCTTCCCAAGGTGCTGGGATTACAGGTGTGAGCCACCATGCCTGAAATTTTATTTATTTCTCTAAGATGACATTGGAATCTGTATAAAAATAGGGATTACATAGAATCCATAGATCACATTGGGTAGTATAGACATTTTAACATTAATTTTTCCAATCCATGAACAAGGAATGTTGTTTTTCTTCAGTGTTTCATAGTTTTCAGTGTACAGGTCTTTTACCTCCTTGATTAAATTTCTTCCTAAATATTTTTTTTTTTTTGGTGGGGGGTACTTACTGTGAATGAGATTTTTTTCTATTTCTTTTTCTGAATTCATATGCTTTTTATTTCTGCTTTTTTTCTTGGTTTTTTAGATAGCTTGATAGTATACAGGAATGCTGATTTTTGTTGATCTTGTTATCTTGCCGCTTTACTGAAATCATTAATTCTCAAAGTTTTTTGGTGTTTAGGGTTTTTTCTAACATAAGATCATGTTGTTGGCAAATAGAGACAATTTCACTTCTTCCTTTCCTATTTGGATGCTTTTTCTTTCTCTTGCCTAACTGGTCTAGCTGGTACTTCCAGTACTATGTTGAATGAAAGCAGAGAGTGGGCATCCTTGTCTTGTTCCTGATCTTAGAGGAAAAACTTCTCAACTTTGAGTATGTTAGTTGAGGTCATGCCATATATAGCTGTAACTGTTATGTACCATATATGTTGAAGTACATTCCTTCTTTACCTACTTTGAGGTTTTTTGTTTGTTTGTTTGTTTTTTGAGGCGGAGTTTCGCTCTTGTTACCCAGGCTGGAGTGCAATGGCGCGATCTCGGCTCACCGCAACCTCCGCCTCCTGGGATCAAGCAATTCTCCTGCCTCAGCCTCCTGAGTAGCTGGGATTACAGGCACGCGCCACCATGCCCAGCTAATTTTTTGTATTTTTAGTAGAGACGGGGTTTCACCATGTTGACCGGGATGGTCTCGATCTCTTGACCTCATGATCCACCCGCATCGGCCTCCCAAAGTGCTGGGATTACAGGCTGAGCCACCGCGCCCGGCCTACTTTGAGTTTTTATCATGAAAAGATGTTGAATTTTGTCAAATGCTTTTTCTACAGATAATGGGATGATCCAAGCTGTTTTTTTGTTTTGTTTTTTTTGTTGTTGTTGCTGTTGTTTTTTGAGATGGCGTTTCACTCTTGTTGCCCAAGTTCGAATGCTATGGCGAAATCTCAGCTCACTGCAACCTCCGCCTCCCAGGCTCAATCAATTCTCCTGCCTCAGCCTCCCAAGTAGCTGGGATTACAGGCATGCACCACCACGCCAGGCTAATTTTGTATTTTTAGTAGAGATGGGGTTTCTTCATGTTGGTCAGGATGGTCTCAAACTCCTAACCTCGGGTGATCTAACCGCCTTGGCCTCCCAAAGTGCTGGGATTAAAGGCATGAGCCACCACAACTGACCTTAATTTTTTTTTTTTTTTGAGACAGTCTCGATTTGTTGCCAGGTGCCAGACTGGAGTGCAGTGGCGCAATCTTGGCTCACTGCAACCTCTGCCTCCTGGGCTCAAGCAATTCTCCTGCCTCAGCCTCTCGAGTAGTTCGGACTACAGGCGCACATCACCATGCCCAGCTAATTTTTGTATTTTTTCAGTAAAGATGGAGTTTCACCATGTTGGCCAGGATGGTATCCATCTCTTGACCTTGTGATCCGCCCACCTCGGCCTCCCAAAGTGTTGGGATTACAGGCATGAGCCACCATGCCCCGCAAATTTTCTTAATCTAAAAAATAATTGGTGGCCGGACATAGTGACTCACGCCTATAATCCCAGTATTTTGAGAGGCTGAGGCAGACAGATCTCTTGAGGCCAGGAGTTAGAGACCAGCCAGTCCAACATGGCAAAACCCATCTCTACTAAAAAATACAAAAACTAGCCAGGTGTGCTAGTGCAAACCTGTCATCCCAGCTACTCAGGAGGCTGAGGTGGGAGAACTGTTTGAACCCAGGAGGTGAACTCCAGCCTGGGTGACAGAGCGAGACTCCATCTAAAAAAAATTAAAAATTTAAACACGGAAAAGAAAAAAACAAAGGAAAAGATGTTGAATTTTGTCAAATGCTTTTTCCACATATAATGGGTCAGTCTAAGTTTTTTTAAATCTGAAAGATAACAGGCTATGTAATCACGTATGTAGAACCTCCTTCCCTAGTACCCCCTCCTTCCTCTCCCAGCTGCAGACCGCTGAGGCTCAACTGGAAGAATCAAACAGGCTCTTCCTAGAAAGATCTCCGGGACCTTTTCTTAGAACACTCTAACAGACCCTGACTCCATCCCTTTTCAAACATCTTTCCCTGCTCTGAGGTCGCCAAAGTTTCAGCTTATCACAGCACCAATGCCCATTGCAAAGAACACGTGATTTATTGGAGAACAACTTGTCATCAACAGCACTGATTCAAAGAACAAAACAGATGAAAAAACAAAAGCAAACCATCTGACCCTCTGGAGTGAGATCTGCTGAATTGATACAGCTCAATCGGTAGTGTCCAAGGTCCAGGGGACAGACAGGTTCTCAAGCAGGAAGCCTCAGGCACTCTGGCTCTGTGGGGACCTCCCCTGGACATCTGCTTGAGAATCTAGAGAAGGGACATTGTCAGGGCAGGGCCTTTCCGCAGATGTCCCGCTGGGAGCTCAGCCTAACCAAGACCTGGTCCCTGTGCTCCTGACCTTGATCTCAAGGTCAAGGAGAGGGCACTTGACCCAACTCTGCCAGCAAGGCAAATTAGATGGTGATTCAAGTAGTGTGGTCCCAGGAGGGAGGGTGGGGGCAGAGAAGAACAAATGCATTAGGAGTCCTGGGCAGTGTCTGCTGGGTCTCAGGCAGTGGCCCAAGGTTGTGAAGGGGTTGGAGGGGCTGAATCACCAGCTGACAAGTCCTGGGGAGAGGGCGGCCCAGGCCAGCAGGAAGCAGCATGTCTCTGCCTCATCCTGGAGGTCTTGGAGTCTGCCCAGCTGTCTTCCCACCCTTATACTCAGTTACAGTACAGAACTCAGAGCCTGCCTGGCCAGGACCTGCTGGATAACCAAGCAGGTCCTAGAAGCACGGGGAGAAGAGGCTGACTTTGATCTTGGAAAATCAAGAGGATCTTGTCTCCAACTCCTTTCTACCTTCCTACACCCACGCTTCATCCCCGAGCACTTGCCAATGTGCAACACGTAGCCAGGAGTCTGAATAAATAGTCAGTCTCCCAAATACTGTGCTTTGGGAGAGGAGGAGACAGAAAGACAGGTACAGAAATCCAAGGAAAAGCCTGGTAGAAGAGCCACTTGAGGAAGCCGTTCGTAGCTCACAGCCGGAGCTGGGAGGGCAGAGACAAGTCCTGCCCACCAGACTCAGTAGGCTCTGGGGGCAGGAGGGCTGCTGGGGCCTGGCTCCGCCAGCCAGTCTGGAGGACGAGGGTCCTCACTATGGCACCTGGCTTCCGGACACAAACCTTGTACAGGGAGGGAGGTGACTTGGTGAGAACTGGGAGTGGCCAACTGCCCCTGCTCAAGGTACGCATGCCCCGCCCTAGGGACGGCTCAGGCAGGGGCCAGAGAAGGTCCTGCACCTCCCTCAGCCCACCGGAGGTGGAGGGGCACACAGAGGCGCAGACATGGCCCTCCTGGAACTGGCAGGACCCATGGCCTTTGAGCTTAGCTACCCTGGCCCCAGAGAGGCTTCCTTGGGCCCCACTTGCCCTTTGTGGGACCTTCCCCCTTCCTGGGTTGGGATCTGGAAGGCAAGGACAAATCTTCTGGGTTCTGACTGTGGGCAGCTCCTCTTCCTTCTCCCTCCCTGGGCAGAAAGCAGGGGCAGGAGGCTCAAAGCTTTGTCCTTTCTCAGCAGCATTTGGTTTCCAAGATTTCTGCCATGGGGAATGGGTTCAGAACCCTCTGAGGCACGGAGGACTCCCTCCCAGTCAAGGGGACCCGGGAGTCCGGGGTTGGGGGATGAGAACATGAGGCAAAGGCCAGGCTTGACCTCCAGGGGCCTTGCTGGGCTAGTCTCCTCATTCTGTCTCCCAGGCTCAGGGAGCAGAGGGACGTGGGGAGAGGAGGCGGCTCAGAATAAGGCACCCCAACAGAGAAGGACAGAGAGAATAATTGAGAGGAACCATGGCGCAAGACACAGCCCCACGCAGGAAGGAGGAAGAAGGACACAGGCAGAAAGGTAGAGACAGAAGGGGAAGCCAGGAGACCTGGAGGACTGAGAGATGCTCACACACACGGGGAGGAGACAGCTGGGGACTCAGGCCCATGTCCACACCAACCGAGTACAGACACCTGTGGGTAAGACAGACGGCGGGACTCTGCTTTCAGCGTCGCCATCCCCATGGAGCAGCCAAAGCACCCCGCCCAGAAGCGGTTTCTGGCCCACTGGCCGAACACCTCCCCTGACCGACGCCCAGGAGAAGACCAGAAGCAGGAACCAAGGCTGGGGCGGCAGAGCCGAGGCAGGGAGGGGCCCCTGCCAGCCTCCCAGTGCCGGAAGCGGCCCTGGCCCAGGAAGGACAACTTCCTGAGCTCCAGCCCTGCTCAGTATCCCAGGCAAAGAGGCCAGGGTGCAGGGCAGGTGGGGCACTGGGCGTAGTGATGGAGGAAGGAGCACAGTACAGTGTGCCCCCAGCGGGCGCAGCCTGGGCCTCGGGCCAATCCTGTGGCTTCCCCTCAGGCTGGGTTCTCACGGGTTTGTGTGTGTCCCGGGAGCCAGGGCAAAGGGCTCGGTGGCTTCTCTCCCAAACACGGGCCTCTTGCCACTGGGCTACTTCGAGTCTTGGAGCTCCTTTGCCTTCTGCAGGATCTGGCAGACGTCTGTGATGGGGTAATCCTAGGCACAGGAAGGGCCAACAATGGCCTCTGAAGCCAGCTCCCCCCCGCCACACCCACACCCTCCCCACTGAGACCCGTCGCCATGCGGGATCCTGAGCCTCAGGGGCAGGAGCACGGAATACCAGGCATCCCACACTCCCCAACCCCTAGACCCCTGCTGGCAGCTGACGCTACACCATGCAGCGCCAACTCAACCGATCCAAACACGACCACACCCAGGGTCTCAGCCCTTTCCTCAGGACCAGACCGTGCTGCCTCAGCTCTCCTTGTACTGCCACTGAACCCGAACTCCCTCATGTGCAGCCAGGGACTGGGCCAGATAGAGTGTCAGCTTGGAGTCCTCAACGGCCCTGTGAGTGGCTACTGTGATTCTGCCCATTTTCCAGATCTAGTCCATGAAGTTATAGAAAACCAACTCTAAGCCGGGCGCGGTGGCTCACGCCCGTAATCCCAGCACTTTGGGAGGCCGAGGCGGGTGGATCACGAGGTCAAGAGATCAAGACCATCCTGGTCAACATAGTGAAACCCCGTCTCTACTAAAAATACAAAACATTAGCTGGGCATGGTGGCACGTGCCTGTAATCCCAGCTACTCAGGAGGCTGAGGCAGGAGAATTGCCTGAACCCAGGAGGCGGAGGTTGCGGTGAGCCAAGATCGCGCCATTGCACTCCAGCCTGGGCAACAAGAGTGAAACTCCGTCTCAAAAGAAAAGAAAATCAACTCTAGGAGCCCGGGCGCGGTGGCTCACGCCTGTAATCCCAGCACTTTGGGAGGCTAAGGTAGGCAGATCACCTGAGGTCCAGAGTTCCACACCATCCTGACCAATGTGGTGAAAACCCCATCTCTACTAAAGATACAAAAATTAGCTGGACGTGGTAGCACACACCTGTAATCCCAGCTACCTGGGAGGCTGAGGCAGGAGAACTGCTTGAAGCCAAGAGGCAGTGGTTGCACTGCCAGAGGGTTTTTTTTTTCCTTTTCTTTTTTACCGCCTATTCCAAGAAATCTGCCAGAGGTTTTACCACTGCACTCCAGTATGGGCGACAGACGAAGACTCCATCACACACACACAAAAACAACAACAGTAAGGCCAGGTGCCGATGAAGAAGCTGAAACCCAGAGATGCTGTAACTTGCCTTTGGTCACATGATGAACACAGCAGGGCAAAACTGTGGACCTAAAGCTGTAGGCCCTTGAACCCATATTCTTATTTTTTTGAGACGGAGTCTTGCTCTGTTGCTCAGGCTGGAGTGCAGTGGCACGATCTCAGCTCACCACAACCTCTGCCTCCTGGGTTGAAGCACTTCTCCTGTCTGAGCTTCCCGAGTAGCTGGGAATTACAGGCACATGCCACTATGCCCAGCTAATTTTTGTATTTTTAGTAGAGACAGGGTTTTGCCATGTTAGTCAGGGTGGTCTCAAACTCCTGACCTCAGGTGATCCACCCACTTCAGCCTCCCAATGTGCTGGAATTACAGACATGAGCCACTGCACCTGGTGAGCCCACGTTCTTAATCACTACACCCTACCCTCCTTCCCTGGGTCTGAGCATGGCCTTGTTTTGGGTACCTGCTGTGTCCTGGGTGTGAACACCTACGTCAAGTACACAGTTTAGGCCGGGCGCGGTGGCTCAAGCCTGTAATCCCAGCACTTTGGGAGGCCGAGGCGGGTGGATCACGAGGTCGAGAGATCGAGACCATCCTGGTCAACATGGTGAAACCCCGTCTCTACCAAAAATGCAAAAAATTAGCTGGGCATGGTGGTGCGTGCCTGTAATCCCAGCTACTCAGGAGGCTGAGGCAGGAGAATTGCCTGAACCCGGGAGGCGGAGGTTGCAGTGAGCGGAGATGGCGCCATTGCACTCCAGCCTGGGTAACAAGAGCGAAACTCCGTCTCAAAAATAAAAAAAAATAAAAAAATTTTAAAAAGTACACAGTTTAGAGGCCAAGTCACTTGCTCAAGTCCACCCAACACTCCAGGTCAGAGGCAGAACCAGGATTCATACCCAGATCCAAACCAGGTCTGTCTCTGGAGTCCCTGCTATGCTCCACCACCCCTGCCCAGTCTATCGCAGCAGCTGGCGTGGGTGGATGCCTGGCAAGAGCCGGCCTCATGGCAGTGGCTGGGCCTGCCCCCATCCCATTACCTGCAGCAGCCGCATGTTCACAGTGAAGTCCCCTTCCAGCAACTGCTCCCGGATCAGCCTATGAAGAGCAAGCAGCAAAAGGGCTGGGACCTGGGATGCTGTGAGTGCAGGCCCCGCCCCCTCCTCCCCTCTGGCTTCTCCAAGGACTGGCCAGGTGAGCTGAGGCTAGCTCATGCTGCACTCACATGAGCATGGCGCAGCAGACGAGGAGGAGGAAGTCAAAGCGGTTGTCATCGGCGAAGAGGGAGTCCCAGATGCGGATGACGTCAGGCAGCAAGAACTCCTGGGACAGCAGTAGTGTCAGCCAGCGGAAGGCAAAGAACTGGGGCTTGATGTTCTGCTCTTGCTGGGGAGAGAGCGTGGGGGTGGGAAGCAGGACTCCATGTTGGCCGGTGGCCGTGGAGCACCATGCAATGGGTCAGAAGTGAATTCATAACAGTAGGACCCAGCGCGCCAGGTGTGAGCACCAGGGCTGGCACCAGACTGCCAGACAGCCTCGCTTGGTAAAGGGGCAGAGGCTGTTTCCTGCCAGCCAACATCCTCAGATCTTTTTGTAAGAGAAGCTGGAAACCCAAACCTTTATATAATAAGCTCTCCAGATTTATAAAGGATGGTTCAAACTCTTTCAAAACACTCTGCAGATGACAGGGTATGTGGATGTGCAGAGTGACCATCACAGGGCCCTTACTATAAGCCTGGGCTATGCTTAGCATGATAAATATGTCCTCTCACTCATTTAATCCACAAACAATTCCACAGGCAATTATTCCCAATATAGACGAGCCCTATGGTCAGCCACAGTGAATTTTTTTTTCTTTATAGTCACAGTGAATATTAATTGAAAAGGTATGCTACAAAACAGCAAAAAGATAATTCCTTTTTTTTTTTTTGAGACGGAGTTTCTCTCGTTACCTAGGCTGGAGTGCAACGGCATGATCTCGGCTCACCACAACCTCCGCCTCCTGGGTTCAAGCAATTCTCCTGCCTCAGCCTCCTGAGTAGCTGGGATTATAGGCACCCGCCACCATGCCCAGCTAATTTTTTGTATTTTTAGTAGAGACAGGGTTTCACCATGTTGACCAGGATGGTCTCGATCTCTTGACCTTGTGATCCACCCGCCTCGGCCTCCCAAAGTGCTGGGATTACAGGCTTGAGCCACCAAGCCCGGCTTCCTTTTTTTTTTTTTAAGAGATGAGGTCTCGCTATATTGCCTAGGCTAGAGTGCAGTGGCACAATCATGGCTCACCACAGCCTTGACCTCCAGGCCTCCAACATCAGCCTCCTGAGTAGGAGACTACAAGCTTGTGTCACCATGCCTGGCTAATATCTTTCTTTCTTTCCTTCTTTTTTTTTTTTTTGAGGCAAAGTTTCACTCTCGTTGCCCGGTCTGGAGAGCAGTGGCATGATCTCGGCTCACCGCAACCTCATCCTCCCAGGTTCAAGTGATTCTCCTGCCTCAGCCTCTCGAGTAGCTGGAATTACAGGTGTGCACCACCACATTGGCTAATTTTTTTTGTATTGTTAGTAGAGACAGGGTTTCTCCATGTTGGTCAGGCTGGTCTCGAACTCCTGACCTCATGATCCGCCCGCCTTGGCCTCATGCCTGGCTGCTAATTTCTTTCTTTTTTTTTTTTTTTTTTTTGAGACGGAGTTTCGCTCTTGTTACCCAGGCTGGAGTGCAATGGCACGATCTCGGCTCATCGGCTCACCGCAACCTCCGCCTCCCGGGTTCAGGCAATTCTCCTGCCTCAGCCTCCTGAGTAGCTGGGATTACAGGCACACGCCACCATGCCCAGCTGACTTTTTTGTATTTTTAGTAGAGACGGGGTTTCACCATGTCGACCAGGATGGTCTCGAACTCTCGACCTCATGATCCACCCGCCTCGGCCTCCCAAAGTGCTGGGATTACAGGCTTGAGCCACTGCGCCCGGCTCTTTTTAAATTTTTTTGTAGTCACAAAATTTCATTATGTTTCTCAGGATATCTCAACCTCTGGGCTCAAGCGATCCTCCTGCACCAGTCTCCCAAACTGTTAGGTTTACAACTGTGAGCCATCACACCCAACCCATATTTGTTTAAAAAGATATGTTTGTTCCTGGCAGGGCACGGTGGCTCACAACTGTAATCCCAGCACTTTGGGAGGCTGAGGTGGGTAGATCACTTGAGGTCAGGAATTCAAGATCAGCCTGGCCAACATGGAAAAACCCTATCTCTACTAAAAATACAAAACTAGCTGGGCATGGTAATGTGTGCCTGTAATCCCAGCTGCTGGGGAGGCTGAGGCATGAGAAGTGCTTGAACCTGGGAGGTGAAGGTTGCAGTGAGCCAAGATTGCACCACTGCACTCCAGCCTGAGCTGACAGAGTGAGAGTCCTTCTCAAAAAAAAAAAAAAAGATATATATTTTATTTTTCATGAAACTTTTCGTTTACATGTAAATAAATGTTCTCCTTTTGTTTTCTGAAATAAACACGGAATGCCAGTACAATTTTTTAAATTATATTAATCTTAAAAAATGAAGTTAACACTTATCTCAGAAGATTACTAACAGCTTAAGCAATTTAGTTGATGGTAAATGCCCTGCACTATGCCTGGCACACAATGGGCACCATTCCAATTTCCCCCTTCCCTCCCAGCTTGCTAGGCTCTGGCCATCAGCTGCTTCAGCTCATGGGTCAGCATCCTCAGCAGCAACAGCCACTTTCAACCCCCAGACTCAAGCCAGACCTCGCCCTGGGCTAAGATGGCACAGGAACTCTCTGCCTCCTGTCCCTGCCACCTGCTGTTCCTGGGGTTCTCACCAGTTTCAGGTAGAGCTCCACATCCTTATCTTTCAAGGTGGAGTACACCTTCTCCATCTTGTAGGTGATGCCACACTGCGAGTCATCTAGGCTCTTGATAAAGTTGTCCCGGATCTCAGCCATGAGGTTGGTGAAGCAGAAAAAGGTGTCTGCCTCGGCATGCTCTGGGAAGAGACACAGGATGGGGGCAGAAGTGGTGGCATCCCAGGCCCACCCCACCTCTCACCTACCAGACAACTGCCTCGCTCTGAGCCCCACCAAGTTGCCCCATCCTCAAAGTTGGGCTCAGTCTTTCCTCTGTCCTTGACCCTTCTCCACCCCCAGGCTAAAGACATCACCTTTTTCTTCTCTGGCAACACTTACATTCACTGAGCAGTTTATTACACACTCCCCTGATGACATTTTGAAAATCATTATTTACATCTTCTAATTCGGCTTCCTACATATCCACCTTCTCTATGAGAAATTAAATTACAAATCTCAAGAGATCAGTAAACATCTAACATTCTAGAAGATCACAGTTGCAAAGGACCTCAGAGATGATCCAGGCCAACCCCTCATCTGGGAGAAGGAGAATGGAGGCCTGAGAGGGAAAGTGAGCTGCACGGCCTGACACGGGCCAGCAACAAGGGATGTGGGCATCAAGAGCCTTCTTACCTTTCCACTCGCTGTTGGGGTCAGTGGCGAAGGTGTAGTAGAGGGGCCCCACAATCTCATTCATGCCTTGTACATAAGCGATGCCAGGGTTGAGCTTGGCATAGATGAAAAGGATCCGCTCCACCACCTCCCAGTGGGCCTCACAGCCATTGGGCAGCACCTCATACTCATTTAGGGATGATGGCGCAGAGTTCTTGTGTGGGGAGCTCATCTAGGGGAGAAAAGGAGGAGCCAGTCAAGAAGGACAATGCGGGTTGGGTTCGGTGGCTCAACGCCTGCAATCCCAGCGCTTTGGGAGGCTGAGGTGGGAGGATCAGTTGAACCCAGGTGGTCAAGGCTGCAGTGAGCCGTGTGATGACACCATTGCATTCTAGCCTGGATAACAGAGCAAGGCCCTGTCTCAAGGCGGGGAAAAAAAAGAGGCTGGGCGCTGTGGTTTAAACCTATAATCCCAGCACTTTGGGAGGCTGAAGCAAGTGGATCACAAGGTCAGGAGTTTGAGACCAGCCTGTCCAACATGGTGAAACCCCATCTCTACTAAAAATACAAAAATCAGCCAGGCACAGGGCAGGCGCCTGTAATCCCAGCTACTTGGGAAGCTGAGGCAGAAGAATCGCTTGAATCCTGGAGGCGGAGGTTGCAGTGAGCCAAGATTGTGCCACTGCACTCTAGCCTGGACAACAGAGCAAGACTCTGTCTCAAAAGAAAAAAAAAAAAAGAGACAACACAGGCTGGCCGCAATAGCTCATGTCTATAATCACAGCACTTTGGAAGGCCAAGGCAGGAGGATCACTAGAGCCTTAGAGTTTGAGACTAGCCTGGACAACATAGGGAGAGTCATCTCTACAAAAAATTTAAATATTAGCCGAGTGTGATGGCAAGCACCTGTGGTCCCGGCTACTTCGGAGGCGAGAGCAAGAGAATCTCTTGAGCCCAGGAGGCTGAGGCTACAGTGAGCTATGTTCGCACCACTGCACTCCAACCTGGGTGACAGCAAGACACTGTCATGGCCGGGCGCAGTGGCTCATGCCTGTAATCCAGGCACTCTGGAGGCCAAGGCGGGCGGATCACCTCAGGTCAGGAGTTCAAGACCAGCCTGGCCAACATGGTGAAACCCCGTCTATTTAAAAAAAAAAAAAAAGAAAGAAAGAAAAAAGGACAATGTGAAGGAAGACAATGTGTTCTTGTCAGAAATGTAAATGTTTACTGTTAAGCCCAGCCCTATGTAGCATATGGGACACATGCCGGCCAGAGGAACAAGTCAAATGCCACCATAAGTAAACAAGGAGACAAAACCTAGAACATGGAACATTCTACAAGACAACCATCCTAAAACCTAACTTACGGTGATTAAAGTCAGAACAGTGAGGAGTACTACCTAAGAAGGGGCATCCAGGAACTTTCTGGATGTGGAAATGTTCTGTATCGTGGCTGACTGGCACTTATACAGGTACGCACACAAGAAAAAAAAAATCTAATAGTATACATAACTGCACATAAGTTACACTTGAATTTAAAACAAAAACCTTAAATATATAAAGAAACAGATAACTGCAGACTCCCCGCTACCCCACTCCCTTTGAAGTCTTGCTCCATCGACCAGGTTGGAGTGCATCGGCTCACTACAACCTCTGGCTCCCGAGCTGAAGCAGTTTTCCTGTCTCAGCCTCCCGAGCACCTGGGATTACAGGTGCTCACCACCACGTTCAGACTTTTTTTTAATTTTGGATATTTTTAGTAGAGATGAGGTTTCACCATGTTAGTCAGGCTGGTCTCAAACTCCTGACCTCAGGTATTCCACCCACTTGAGCCTCCCAAAGTGCTGGGATTACAGGTGTGAGCCACCATGCCCGGTGAGAATGCCCTTATTCTCAGGAGATCCTGCTGAAGTAGTTGGTGGTGAAAGGTCAGACATCAGCAACTTACTCTCTCTATGTAATACACACAAATAAAGCAATGTGAAAAATGTTAATAATTGTAACATTTAGATGGAGAAAGTATACAGATAGTTACACAGTGTACTCTTCTTTCAACTTTTCTGAATGTTTGAATATTTTCATAAGAAAAGGTTGGAGGCCAGGCAAAGTGGCTCACACCTGTAATTCCAGCACTTTGGAAAACTGAGGCAGGCGGATCACTCAAGATCAGGAGTTCAAGACCAGCCTAGCCAAAAATCTCTACTAAAAATACAAAAATTAGCCAGGCCTGGTGGCACATGCCTATGATCCCAGCTAATACTCAGGAGGCTAAGGCATGAGAAGTGCTTGACCCCAGGAGGCAGAGAGAGCCAAGATTATGCCACTGTACTCCAGCCTGGGCAACAAAGTAAGACTGCCTCAAAAAAAAAAAAAAAAAAAAGTTGGAAGTTAAAGAGAGAACAATCCCTGCTGAAGACTCCAGCTGCCTGTCGGGATGCCTTGGGAACTTTGTAAAGATTCAAGTGCCTGGGCCCTGCCCTAGACCTGCTCAGTCAGAAGCTCCGCAGGTGAGTGACCCGTATGAGAGAACCCAGGCAGTGACAGCGGATGAGGCCATCCTCGAAGCATAGGCTCCTGGAGACATTAAACTCTCTCTCCCATAACATGTGTGTACATATGTATACACATACACATGCACACATGTTCACACATAGACACACATCAGTGACATGTTCCAAGAGCTTTTTATGCGGCTGACAGTACCGTACAAGTATTCCTCCATTTAATTCACTGAACAATCTAAAATATTCTCTCCACATCATTTTCAAGATGAGGAAACTGAGGCTTAGAAATGTCGAGCCACTCCTTAAATGTCTACCATTAGGTGGTGGCTTTAGGACTTGAACCTGACCTGCTGACTCCCAAAACTAAGGGCCAGGACTTGAGGCGAGGCTGCCTCCCGAGGTTGCCCAGGGCTTTCTGCTTTCTAAGAATCTGCACAGCCAGGACCTCATTTCATCCTCTTGGCGACTCAGGCAGGGCAGAAATGATTATGCCCAGTTTATGGTCGAGGAAACAAAGGCCAGGATGTGAGCCTGGTATGACTTGTCCAGAGTCACACAGACAGTCAACTTTAACTCACACTGCCCAGCCATAAACCCAGAGGCTTAGGGATAAAGTTTCTGGTGGGTTCTCTGCTACCACGACCAAACGTTAAACTAGGTAACAGTGCTCCTTACACCCAGTTACCACAGTGAAAGGAATGACAGGAGCCAGTCTCCACCCAGCCCTTCAGCCAGGAAATCAACAGCCAAGAATGCTGCCCACAAAGCCAGCCACATGGTTATGTAGCCACACAATCTGCACTGCACAGCAGTTCTGCTGGACACAAAACCCTCATAGGCACATGCAACCCTGGGATCGGCTATATCTGCCCCTGCCACCCTGTCGGAGCTTCAGAGTCATTCTTAGCTGGGTGTGGTAGCTCATGCCTGCTATCCCAGCACTCTGGGAGGGCCAGGTAGGAGGATCGTTTGAGCTCAGGAGTTCAAGACCAGACTGGGTGACACAGCAAGACTCTGTCTCTATTTTAAAAAATAAAACGAGCCAGGTGCGGTGGCTCATGCCTATATTCCCAGCGCTTTGGGAGGCCAAGGCAGGCAGATCACAAGGTCAGGAGTTCAAGATCAGCCCGGCCAACATGGTGAAACTGTCTTTAAAAAAAAAAAAGATAAAACAAACAAACAAACGAACAAAAAAGTCATTCCCCAGGGTGAGAAAAATTTCTGCAGTAGTATCTGCCCTAGCTTGTTGGAGGCTACACAGAAAGGTTTTCCCATTGATGGAGGACAGTGAAAAGTTTAGGCGAACAAGCCACTATTCCAAGTACCAAAGGAGGGGCGTAAATTAAGGAAAAAGGTAATATACTTGTTTGACTACAAGCAGCTTTGCGGAGTGATAGCAATCTATGAAAAGTTGGGGGGTCCTGGCCAGGCGCAGTGGCTCACACCTGTAATCCCAGCACTTTGGGAGGCCCAGGCGGGTGCATCATGAGGTTAAGAGATCGAAACCATCCTGACAATCATCGTGAAACCGTCTCTACCAAAAATACAAAATTAGCTGGGCATGGTGGTATGCGCCTGTAGTCCCAGCTACTTGGGAGGCTGAGGCAGGAGAATCGCTTAAGCCCGGGAAGTGGAGGTTGCAGTGAGTGAGTTCGCTCCACTGAACTCCAGCCTGGCGACAGAGTGAGACTCTGTCTCAAAAAAAAAAGAAAAAAAAAAAGCTTGGGGGTCCTTTCAGTTCCACCCCAAGCCTCTCAGATCCAGCCCTGCTGCATCCCTGCCCCCACCACCTCTTGCCTAGACAACTGCAGTGGCCTCCCAGGTAGCCTCTCTACTGCCACTCCTGTATCTCCACAGCAACTAAAGCTGACACAAGCAGGTATGAATCACGTCGCTGCCGTGCTTACGTTGCTATAAACGTGTCTCCCCGCCCCTCAGGACAAAGGCCCCACATGGCCTCACCAGCACCAACCTCTTCCCTCACTCTCTGCTTCTAGCCACCATGGCCACCCCGACCAAGAACACACCACGTTCTCGCCCGCTGAGGACTTTGGCATATGCCCTCCTCTCCACCTGGAATGCTCTCTTCTTGTTTTTTGTTTTTGAGACAGGGTGACAGGGTCTTGCTCTGTTGCCCAGGGTGGAGTGCAGTTGTGCGATCTGGACTCACTGCAACCTCTGTCTCCGAGGTTCAAGTGATTTTCCTGTCTCAGCCTCCTGAGTAGCTGGGATGACAGATGCCCGCCACCACACCCAGTTAATTTTGTATTTTTAGTAGAGATGAGGTTTCACCATGTTGGCCAGGCTGGTCTTGAACTCCTGACCTCAGGTAATCTGCCCCCCCTTAGCCCTCTAAAGTGCTGGGATTGTAAACATGAGCCACCATGCCCTGCCCATTTTTTTTTTTTTTTTTTTTTTTTGAGACAGTATCACTCTGTCGCCCAGTGGCGCAATCTTGGCTCACTGCAACCTCTGTCTCCCAGGTTCAAGTGATTCTCCTGCCTCAGCCTCCTGAGTAGCTGATATTACAGGCACACGCCATCATGCCCAGCTGATTTTTGTATTTTTTGTAGAGACAGAGTTTCAGCACATTGCCCAGGCTGGTCTTGAACTCCTGGGCTCAAGCAATCCTTTTGCCTCAGCCTCCCAAAGTGCTGGGATTACAGCGTAAGCCACCGCACCCAGCCCTGTCACACTTTCTCACTTTGTAATGACTTTCTCAGAGCCACTGTAAGACTAGAAGCCTGGCTCATTTACCCACTGGGATGCAGAGCCCTCCCCAGCAGCCATTACACCCAACTGGACACAGCAATTCGCTGCCACCCAACTTTCAGAGAGCGCCCCAGGATCTGGCAGCATCAGGGCTGCTCTGGGTAACTGTCAGGCAGATGGTCATGGCCCCACGCCTTGTGGCCAGGAGTTTAAGAGAAAAACGAAAGAAAAGATTATTGGGGGAGTCCTGGGGACCCCAGGTTGGTGCTCACATTTGTGACCCCACTCCGGTTCCGGGCCACCGTCTGAGATTTCAGTGTTGTCTGTTCCACTCGCTTACGAAGGGTTTCAAACTCATTCTGGGGATCCAGGATGAGGAGACAAGGGTACTCCGTGGCCCTCTGGAAGAAGGAAATGTCAGGGCACAACCTCCTGTCAAGAGGAAATAGGAAAAAATCATGTTACTCAGGGTGGAGGTTTTGGCCATTCCATCAGCACCCTGCTGCCAAGAGACCCCAAGAATCCCCAAAAGCATTTTTTTTTTTTTTTTTTTTTTGAGACGGAGTTTCGCTCTTGTTACCCAGGCTGGAGTGCAATGGCGCGATCTCGGCTCACCGCAACCTCCGCCTCCTGGGTTCAGGCAATTCTCCTGACTCAGCCTCCTGAGTAGCTGGGATTACAGGCACGCGCCACCATGCCCAGCTAATTTTTAGTATTTTTAGTAGAGACGGGGTTTCACCATGTTGACCAGGTTGGTCTCGATCTCTCGACCTCGTGATCCACCCGCCTCGGCCTCCCAAAGTGCTGGGATTACAGGCTTGAGCCACCGCGCCCGGCTTTTTTTTTTTTTTTTTTTGAGACTGAGTCTCGCTCTGTCACCGGGCTGGAGTACAGTGGCACAATGTTGGCTCACTGCAACCTACGACAGATATTTCATCTGTCAACTTCTGGTTTAAGCGATTCTCCTGCCTCAGGCTCCCAAACAGCTGTAATTATACGCATGTGTCACCACGCCCAGCTAATTTTTTTATTTTTAGTAGAGACGAGGTTTCACCACGGTGGCCACGATGGTCCTGATCTCCTGATCTTGTGATCAACCTCCCTTAGCCCCACAAAGTGCTGGGATCACAGGTGTGAGCCACGGCACCCCACTGCATTGTTTGTTTCTAATTACAATATTTTGAATCACCTGACATTAGGAATTCGAGACCAGCCCAGCCAACACGGTAAACCCTGTCTCCATTAAAGAATACAAAAATTGGCTGGGCACAGTGGCTTACACCCGAAATCCCAACACTTTGGGAGGCCGAGGTGGGCGGATCACCTGAGGTCAGGAGTTCGAGACCAGCCTGGCCAGCATGGTGAAACCTCCTCTCTACTAAAAATATAATAAATTAGCAGGCATAGTGGCATGAGCCTATAGTCCCAGCTACTCAGGAGGCTGAGGCAGGAAGATGGCTTGAACTCGGCAAGTGGAGGTTGCAGTGAGCTGAGATTGCGCCACTGCACTCCAGCCTGGGCGATAGAGCAAGACAGAGACCAAGAGAGGCGGATCACCTGATGTCAGGAGTTTGAGACTAGCCTTACCAACATGCAGAAATCCTGTCTCTACTCAAAAAAAATACCAAATTAGCCAGGTATAGTGGCGCATGCCTGTAATCCCAGCTACTTGGGAGGCTGAAGCAGGAAAATTGCTTCCCTTGAATTGGCAGGTAGAGGTTGCAGTGGGCCGAGATCATGCCATTGCATTCCAGCCTGGGCAACAAGAATGAAACTCCGTCTCAAAAAAAAAAAAACAAAAAAAAAAACAAAAATAGAAAAATTAGCCAGACGTGGTGGCGGGTGGCTGTAATCCCAGCTACTAGGGAGGCTGAGGCAGGAGAATTGCTTGAGCTAGGCAAGTGGAGGTTGCAGTGAGCCGAGATCATGCCACTGAACTCCAACCTGGGCAACAAAGTGAGACTCCATCTCAAAAAAATAACAATTACAACATTTTATTTTAAAAACAATACAGTTTTTAAAAAAGCAGTAGTCAGACTGGGCACAGCGGATCACACCTGTAATCCCAGCACTTTGGGAGGCTAAGGTGGGCGAATGACCTGAGGTTGGGAGTTAGAGACCAGCCTGGCCAACATGGGAGTTAGAAACCCTATCTATACTAAAAATGCAAAGTTAGCCGGGCGTGGTGGCACGTGCCTGTAATCCCAGCTACTCAGGAGGCTGAGGCAGGAGAATCGCTTGAACCCAGGAGATGGAGATTTTGGTGAGCCAAAATCACACCATTGCACTCCAGCCTGGGCAACAAGAGTGAAACTCCATCTCAAAAAAAAAAAAAGGCCGAGTGCGGTGGCTCAAGCCTGTAATCCCAGCACTTTGGGAGGCCAAGGCGGGTAGATCACGAGGTCAAGAGATCAAGACCATCCTGGTCAACATGGTGAAACCCCGTCTCTACTAAAAACAAAAAATTAGCTGGGCATGGTGGCGCATGCCTATAATCCCAGCTACTCAGGAGGCTGAGGCAGGAGAATTGCCTGAACCCAGGAGGCGGAGGTTGTGGTGAGCCAAGATCGCGCCATTGCACTCCAGCCTGGGTAACAAGAGTGAAACTCCGCCTCAAAAAAAAAAAAAAAATAGCCAGGTGCAGTGGTTCACACCTGTAATCCCAGCACTTCGGGTGGCTAAGGTGGGCAGACGACCTGAGGTCTGGAGTTCCAGACCAGCCTGATCAACCTGGAGAAATCCTGTCTCTACTAAAAATACAAAATTAGCTGGGCGTGGTGGCACATGCCTGTAATCCCAGCGACTCGGGAGACTGAGGCAAGGAGAATCACTTGAGCCCAGGAGGCAGAGGTTGTGGTGAACTGAGATCATACCATTGCACTCCAGACTGGGCAACAAGAGCAAAACTCCATCTCAAAAAAAAAAAAAAGTAGTAGTCACTGTATATGTATACATACCCACATTTTATGCATATTTGCAAATAGATGCATACTTTTTTTTTTAAAAGTGTCTTTATGGTCATACAACCTAACTCCTCTTTTAAACTCTAAACATCCTTCCATGTAAAAATATTTATCTAGGCCAGGCACAGTGGCTCACGATTGCAATACCAGCACTTTGGGAGGCTAAGGCAGGAAGATCACTTGAGCCCAGGAGCTCAAGACCAGCGTGGGCAACATAAGGAGACCCCACCTCTATAAAAAATTTGCTGGGTGTGGTGGCATGTGCCTGCAGTCCTGGCTACTCGGGAGGCCGAGGTGGGAGGATCACTTGAGCCTGGGAGTTCAAGGCTATGGTGAGCTGAGATCAAGCCGACATACTCCAGTCCAGCCTGGGCAACAGAGCAAGACCCTATTTCAAAAAAAAAAAAAAAATTTCCTAACATGCACAAACACAGTGTGGTTTGTAGTAGCAAAAGAGGTTTGGTTCCATAAGGTACACACTGTACAAAAGAATATTATACAGCTGACCTGGAAAAATGTTCAAGACAGAATGAGAAAAAAGAAAAAAAAAGACAGAGTGAAAGGGAAAACAAGTTGGGAGATAGTATCTAGAATGTTATCAAGTTTAAAAAATGTATCTATTGCAGTACATGAACATTATTCAGACCTCTTATACTTAGCATATTGTAAACCTGCCTATAGAAGCACCAAAGGACGTGCTACCATCACTACTAATGTAAAACAGAACCTGGCCAGGCATGGCAGCTTATTTATGCCTGTAATCCTAGCACTTTGGAAGGCTGAGGCGTGTGGATCACTTGAGATCAAGAGTTTGAGACCAGCCTGGGCAACTTGTGAAACCCCATCTCTACTAAAAATACAAAAATTAGGTCTCGTGGCACATGCCTGTAACCCCAGCTATTAGGGAGGCCGAGACAGGAGAATGGCTTGAACCCGGGAGGCAGACATTGCAGTGAGCCGAGATCGCACCACTGCACTCAAAACTAAACAAAAACAAAAAGAACAAAACCTATTTCCCCAGGTCACGGAGTGGTTCTTGATTTGAACACAGCCATCAGAAGACCTCATGGGGGTAAATGCTGTGCCAACCCCAGCCTGACAGCACAAGACACAGTCCCCCTTTCTCCTGCAGCCTACGTTGCCCTCTGCAGGGGCCACCTGAAGATGAGCCTGGGCCAAGGAGCAACACCCAGGGTGTTAACGGTGAGGAGGACCCTGCTCCCAACTCTACCCTGCACGCGCCTTCTTCCCCTGCCACAGGGCACTCTTGTGTGCTTTGCCGCAGCCCAGCAGACTCCTCTACTCAGCTCGCTGCCTCCCTGCCGTCGCCTCCTCTTTCACATCTCATGCTGAGCCCCCTCCCTGGAAAGGCTTTCCTTGATACCACCAAAGGAAAACAAGGCCTGCCTCTGATTTTCTAAAAGCACCAGTTTTTCCCTCCTTCACCGCACTGACAGTATTTGCAATTACGTATCTGTTTCCAGGTTTGATATATGTCCCCTGACTTACACTGGAAGCTCTCAGAGGGCAGAGACTGTTTCTGTCCTGCTCACTCCTAAAACCCTCCTGACAGGCACTCGGCCATTCCTTGAGAAGGAGCTGAATGGAGGGGCACCTGTGCTGGTGCAAACTGACCTGGGCACCTGAGACTACCTGTTGGAGATTCTGAAGGGTCACTGGGTGGGACAAAGCGCCGGCTTGTCCTTTGTGACCAAGCACCAGGGGTGCTAGGCAAGCTGTTGTAAAAGGAACAGGATAAGCTCCCAGGACCTTTCTCTGATGGAGATCTGATTGTTCTAAGTGCTCTGCATGTGCTAAGACCAGCACAACAGTCCCATGTATCTGTGGAGACCCAACCTGTTCTGTGACCTTATCCTGAACCACGTTACTCCTACTTCACAGATAAACAGAGTAATGATCAGAGGGTGTGAGTCACTCGCCCAAGGTCACACAGCTATTAACTGGTAAAGGTGGAACGGAAACCAGGTAAATGAAGTCCAGAACCCAAGCCCTTGGCCACAGCCACTCCACCAACCTGTGGACAAGGCCTGCCTCCTAGTTCCTTCACCTAGCCCCACACGCTGCCAGACTTCCCAGCCTGACAGGGCCACAGAGCCAGCATCTCCACATTTCTTTACCAAGTGGAAAAGCATGCCCCCATTGTAGCTCACAGTTTTAAAACCTGTGTATCTGATCCTGTCACTCCTTTGATCAAAACCTTTGCATGGCTGCTTCATGCTCTTAGAATCAAGTCCCAGGTCCGGCCCCTATCCCCCACCCCGGCCTTGGCACTGTTCCTCAAATGTGGCACGCTCTGCGAGCTCTCCCGGCTTTGCCAAGGGCAGTTCCCTGACCAATGCGGCCTTTGCTGTACTCTTCCCCTTCTGATTCAGAAGCTGAATCCCTGCTTCTCAGCTGAGGTTTCCCCAAACCCCCTCAACTCTTCCTTCAAGAGCATTTACCACGAACGCCACGCGCTAAGATCTAATGGGCTGAATGTCTGCCTTGCCATCTTCCCTTCTATGTTCTCAGATACTTAAGGAGAAGGAACATACCAGTCTACTCAGTGCTTAACCCTTAGCTTAGTGCTAAGCCTGGCATACAGGAGGGGCTCAATACTTGTTGAATAAATGTCAGATGAATCCATACATGCCTGGGGTACAAATGAAACTACAGCTAAGGACCACCAGGCACATGCAAGCACAGACTCTACCTCGCCAGCCTCATTCTCAGCCTATCACCAATAGGGCCTGGGCCCAACCGCTGGGACAATTCACCAGCAGCTCCGCCAACACCCACCCGTGGGCCCAGCCTGCAAAAGGAAAAGACAGAGCTGCAGAAATCCCCAGAAATCCCATGAGCCAGCTCCCAGCCCCAGGTGCCCTGCCTACCGGACATCTTTGTCAATCTGCAGCAGCACCTCGTTGTCCCTGAAGTACGTGTTCCACCGACTGTCAGGGTTGGGGTTGAGTGGCTGTGGAGAGAAATGAAGATGCTTGGTCCAAGGCCCAGATAGGCCCCGGGGTCGGATGCTATCCTGGAGACCTGAGCAGTGGTCTTCTGCAACAATCCCACCACACCCTGAGGTGTGGCCCTGACACTACCTGCAAGCTATTCAGAGGAGCCAGCACAGGCCTTACACAGCCTCCTGAGTCCTGTTCAAACTCCACAGCCAGGAACCCAGCCTGGCAGCCTGCTCTGAGTACATCCCTGCTGGGCAGGGACTCTGATCCTTTTCTGTCCATTGCTCTAGCTTGAGAACTTTGCATATAACAGGTGCTCAGCAAATGTTTGCTTGCTGAATGAATGAATGTTCTATCATTAGGTTTCTTCAGCTCTCATTCGCCAATGTTCTGAGTCATCAATTCCTATCTGTGAGTCTGGGCCTGGGGCCCATCCATTTCTTTCTCCCACGCTGTGAAGCCCAGGAAGGAGCTCAGCATTTGAGGAGAGAATAAGGCTTCCTTGCAGCCACAGAGGGCAGCCTAGCCTCCTTCCTACCCTGCCCCAACTTTCTTCAAGGAACAGGGATGAGGGTTGTAAGAGACCATGACCTCAGAGCACCTGACGCACGGCTGCCCCCACAACGCTCCCTGGATGCTGGCTATCATTTGTCTTACTGAGCCTAGGGCCCCCCAAGCTTAGTGACCTAAGGCAGAAGGAGGAACTGGGAGGTCCAGAGGGGACCAACACCAGATGCACCTCTCCCCTGGCACACAGGGGACCTTACCTGCTCCAAGGTGACAACCCCTCCACATTCTGTATCCCAGGTCTCTGCTGCCAACCCCTACTCACATGGTCCTCAAAGGTCACATCCTCCCTGGACACACCCATGTTGGCCTTGGCAATGCCAGGCTGGATGATCATTTCCCTCAGGAACTGGGCATACAGCTCCCTGCAGGAGACAAGCAAGAAGGATGAATCCTGACAGTCCTGCTCAGGGAGCCCAGAACAGAGCAGCAGCCACAGGAGGCAGGACAGCCCCAGCAGCATGGGCTCCGTCAGATGCAAGAGCCCTCTTGTCACCACCCTTTCACGGGGGTCTCACCTCTGCTTAGCCAGGATAGAAGTCCATGAGGCTCTTTCCAAGGGAAGGTAGTTCAAGAGAATCTGAACAGAGGGAGAGAGGCAAAGCTCTGGTGACCCTCCTGCACCAACGCTGGACTTTAAGTGGGGCTGACAGGCCTCAAGAAAAACATAAAGTCCCAAGAAAGAAAAGATGGGCTGAAACCCAGCAATGCCAGCATGAGCTAGGGGTAGCCTTCCCCTTTCTCCCCACTGCTTTTCCTCACACAGACTCTTCTACATGATCAGACCCTGTGCTCAAAAGGGCTGAGAACCAAGACACTGAGCCTCCAGGGCCACTGGAGCTAGGAGCTTTGGGCAAAGCACAGCCTTTCCTTTGTCCCAGCAAGCATGACTTTTGCTGTACTTCATGAACTAAGAAGCAGAGGCCTTCACTGTTGGCATTGCAAAGTGTCCCATCCCCAAGGGGATCCCAGAGAGGACACCAAGAGGAACAGAAAATCCAGAACTTCCCAGAAAAGCTCCCTCAGACAAGCAAGGAAAGGTGTGGAACAGAAAGGGGGCCAGGCGTGGGGGTAGCCCATGCGGGAAAACCCAGGGACTCTCAGCAAAACCCAGGGACTCTCAGCAGAGCAGAAGCCCCATCCCAGGCACACCCACCTTCCAGCAGAGGCACCGCAGTCCGCCCTCACAGGGGATGCCTGTGGACACAGCAGGCAAAGGTCACGCCCCAGGCCAGAGTCCCAGAACCCCCAGCCCTTCACCGTGGAGCCAGCTGGCAAGAAGTAGAGTGGGCAAAAAGTACTTCCTCAAGAATCATTTACCACAGAAAGAGTACTAAACTGGATAGTTTTTGTTTTGTTTTTGAGACAGAGTCTCACTCTGTCACCCAGGCTGGAGTGCAATGGCGTTATTTCGGCTCACTGCAGCCTCTGTCTCTGGGTTTCAGTGATTCTACTGCCTCAACCTCCCAGGTAACTGGGATTACAGGCATGCACCACGCCACTACGCCCAGCTAATTTTTGTATTTTTAGCAGAGATGAGGTTTCACCATGTTGGCCAGGCTCGGCTTGAACTACTGACCTCAAGTGATCTGGCCATCTTGGTCTCCCAAAGTGCTAGGATTACAGGTGTGAGCCACTGGGCCTGGCCTAGACCCTAGACTGGATGTTAATTCTTTTTTTTTTTTTTTTTGGAGACAGTCTTGCTCTGTTGCCCAGGCTGGATTGCAGTGGCCTGATCTCTGTTCACTGCAACCTCCGCCTCCCTGGTTCCAAGGATTCTCCTACCTCAGCCTCCCAAGTAGCTGGGATTACAGGCGAGTGCCATCATGCCCAGCTATGTTTTTGTATTTTTCGTAGAGACTGGGTTTCACCATGTTGGCCAGGCTGTTCTCAAACTCCTGACCTCAGGTGATCCACCTGCCTCAGCCTCCCAAAGTGCTGAGATTACAGGTGTGAGCCACCGTGCCTAGCCAGAAGTTCTTGCTGGCAAATTTACAGGGGCAAAAAAGTGTCAAGAAGCTACACAGAACACTTTGGGACTTTTTTTTATTTTATTTATTTATTTATTTTTTTTTGAGACGGAGTTTCCCTCTTGTTACCCAGGCTGGAGTGCAATGGCGCGATCTCGGCACACCGCAACCTCCGCCTCCTGGGTTCAGGCAATTCTCCTGCCTCAGCCTCCTGAGTAGCTGGGATTACAGGCACGTGCCACCATGCCCAGCTAATTTTTTGTATTTTTGGTAGAGACGGGGTTTCACCATGTTGACCAGGATGGTCTCGATCTCTTGACCTCATGATCCACCCACCTCGGCCTCCCAAAGTGCTGGGATTACAGGCTTGAGCCACCGCGCCCGGCCACTTTGGAACATTTTTTAAAAAAGAGAGTTACCTCTGTGCTGGTTGGAGCAGTCTAACAGTGCTAAGAATCACCTCCTTAAATTCAGTGTCCCAAGTTTACCATTTCACCACTAACCAAAGTTTACTGCTGCTTTAGTCAGCTTAGACCCCAAGCCAGGGAGAGAACCAGGAACCACCCTGCAGTTCACCAAACTCCCCAACACAGGAGGCTGGCTAAGGAATAAGGAAAGACGGTTCTGGGCTCCAAAGGTTCACCCTTCACCCCCACAACTCTCATGCTCCATTCTCCAGTCTTGAGTCCTGTCTACTCTCAGGAATCTGGCACCTCCTGTGGAAGACCTAAGGGCAAGGCAAGCTAGGTGTGGCCACCACCCCTCTGGGAAACCCCTCCAAGCTCAAGGCAGTGGCTCGTTCAGCTCTACAGAATCTGGAGAAGGCCCCAAGAATCTACATGCAATTTCCTTCCATGGCCCCAGCCCCCAGCAGCTGGGCCCCTGAGCTGACCAGGTGTGACCTTGGGCACCTCCCCCTAGCCACAGGGCTGCTCTAGGGAAACCCTGAAAATACAGAATGGCCTCTTACCACTAAAGCTGAGTTCCCGAAGCTTTTCCAATGCAATTGACGGCTCCTTCAGGACATCCTGGAAATCTGCAATTCTAGAAGAGGAGATAGGAAGGCAAATGAAGCTCGGCTTGTATCTGCTTAGTGAGATCCACAGCCTTCAGCTCCCTCAGACCACCAGTTTCCAACCTGTGCCTGTCTCCCCTTTTAGGACATAAAAATCACACAGCTTAGTCAAGGTCCTCACCAAAACGCTTTGGGGAACAACAGAACTATATTTCACTTCTTCCTCTACACCCAGAAACACAGAATGCCAGGGAAGAAACTTGAAACATATTCGTCTAGAAATTCCCAAATGAGGACCATAAAATTTGACACATTCCAACATTCTAACATTTAGTGAGCTGACATTTACTGGGCACTTCCTGCCAGCCAGGCCAGGTCCACAGCACAGCCACCATCTGAACTCCTTGGACCTCAAGAACCAAGAGTAATTTGATCTGCAGACAATGGACCAGTGCAAGATGAACACAGCTCTCTATGGTCACAAATATAACCATTGCAAGACATGTGAGCCTGCCAGAAGCAAAGGACAAAGGGTTTAAAAAACACGACCTGGAGAAAAACTGAAGAGTGAGCAAAATTCAGCCAAGGCTGCAGGATCTGGCCTGGGGGAGGGGACAGACTGGAAAATGCAAGTTCTCTAGCAATCCTGGTAATAAAAAGGCACGGGGGACACAGGGTACTTGAAAAAAGTACTGGAGCAGGAGGTTAAAAAGGAGAAAAGGGACGGGGGCGGGGCATGGGGGGTCTGGATGAGGAACACTCAGGGGAAAGGGGAAACCAGGGGTCCAGGGTGAGGGAGGCAGGAGTGACACCAGGGGCAGGAGAGGGGCCGCCGCTCGGTCCTTCCTGCAGCCCACAGGCAATGAGGTTAGGTGGACGCCGGAGACCCTTTGCCGGGGCGGCGGGGGGGGTCCTGCCAATTCCTGGCCACACCCCGCGCTTCCCCCTTCTGGCACAAGAGGCACCCTGGCCCCTTGGCCCCTTACCGGCTCTTGTGCAGACTCGACATGGTGTTGACTTCCGGACCCCCAGCCACCTCCGCCGCCTGCGCCTCTGCTGCCTGCACCGCCGCCGCCGCCGCCGCCCCTCTGGGACGCGGGGCTCTGGGCAAAAGCCTCCGGCGGGAAACACAACCACACGGCTGTGCGTTCCGCCCCGCGGGTCACGTGCCTTCCCTAGCCTCTTAGCTTCCACACGCTCTGGGCGGCCGCGGCGGGCCGGGGTGGGCGGGGCAACCGTTGGGAGGGGCGTGGTAGCCGCCGGTCGAGTGGGCGTGGTAGCCGCGGGCTGCACTCCGCCCCGCCCCCCCACCGTGGACCCTGCGGGCCAAATGTGAGAGCCCGTGGTGACTGCGCGGTCTGTGTGTGCCTGGACTCGGTGTCTACTTAACGCAGTATACCTGTCACCCTGTCTTCCCTGCACGAACCCCCTCTCCGTAATTAACTACTGCATGATTGTTACAGGAGTATCGGCCTCCCCTGCTCAACTGTTCAGGCCCCCCAGCTTGTATTGGTTTCTGCTGAGTCCTCAAGGCCTGTATAGCCGGGACCCGCGTGAACTATCGTGCCCGGCCCAACTTTTTTTTTTTTTATTTTTTTTTAATGAAAAGAATACTAGCCAACCTTTTAAAATGTTAGTTAGGAAGACAGAAAAAACCACAAATGGTATCTTAAGAAAAATAGGCTAAGCCGTCAGTGCTAGCTCATGCCTGTAATCCCAGCACTTTGGGAGGCTCAGGCGGGCAGATCACTTGAGATCAGGAGTTCAAGACCAATCTGGCCAACATGGTGAAACCCCGTCTCTACCAAAAATACAAAAATTAGCCGGGAACGGTGGCAGGCGCCTGTAATCCCAGCTACTCGGGATTCCCTTCTTGACAAAAAATATAAATATTAACTGAGTATAGTGGCCCATGCCTGTAGTTCCAGCTGTTTGAGAGACTGAGACGGGAGGATTGATGAGCACAGTAATTTCACGCCAACTACTGCACTACAGTCTGGGTGACAGAGTGAGACCCTGTCTCAAAAATAAATAAAAAGAGTTAAACCGATACAACCTTTCACAAAGCAATTTGACAAGTATGTATACAATTTTTAAAATAAATATGTATGCTTTTTTTTTTGGAGGCAGAGTCTCACTCTGTTGCCCAGGCTGGAGTGCAGTGGCGTGATCTCAGCTCACTGCAACCTCCGTCTCCCAGGTTCAAGCGATTCTCCTCTCTCAACCTCTCGAGTAGCTGGGATTACAGGTGTGCACCACCACACCCGTAATTTTTGTATTTTTGTAGAGACAGGGTCTCCCCATATTGGCCAGGCTGGTCTCGAACTCCTGAACCAAGACTGGCCTTATATGCTTATTTTTAAAAACCTTGAGGCCAGGCACAGTGTGGCTCATGCCTGTAATCCCAGCACTTTGGGAGGCCAAGGTGGGTGGATTACGAGGTCAGGAGTTCAAGACCAGCCTGTCCAATATGGTGAAACCCCCGTCTCTACTTTAAAAAAAAAAAAAAAAAAAAAAAAACAGGCCGGGCACAGTGGCTCAAGCCTGTAATCCCAGCACTTTGGGAGGCCGAGGCAGGCGGATCATGAGGTCAAAAGATCGAGACCAGCCTGGCCAACATAGTGAAACCCCGTCTCTACTAAAAATACAAAAATTAGCTGGGCATAGTGGCGCGTGCCTGTAATCCCAGCTACTCAGGAGGCTGAGGCAGGAGAATTGCTTGAACCCGGGAGGCAGAGGTTGCAGTGAGCCGAGATTGTGCCACTGCACTCCAGCTTGGCGCCTGGGGACAGAGTGAGACTCTGTCTCAAAAAAACAAAAACAAAAACAAAAATTAGCAGGCCGTGGTGGTCCATGCCTATAGACCCAGCTACTCGGGAGGCTGAGGCAGGAGAATCACTTGAAGCTGGGAGGTGGAGGTTGCAGTGAGCTGAGATCGTGCCACTGCACTCCAGCCTGAGTAACAGAGCAAGACTCTGTCTCAAAATAAAAAATAAATAAAAATAAATAAAAATCTTTTAAAATCTTTATTTTGGGATCATTGTAACTGCACAGGAAGTTACCACGATAGTACAGGGAGGTGATTTGTGCTCTTTACCCAGTTTCCCCCAATGGTTTTATTTTAGTACAATTTTAACAGCTTTATTGAGATATAATTGACAATTCCTAAACCACACACTTTTTTTTTTGGAGACAGAGTCTCACTCCTTGCTCTCCCAGGCTGGAGTGCAGTGGCACGATCTCAGCTCACTACAACCTCTGTCTCCCAGGTTCAAGTGATTCTCCTGCCTCAGCCTCCCAAGTAGATGGGATTACAGATGCTCGCCACCATGCCCAGCTAATTTTTTTTTTTTTTTTTTTTGAGACCAAGTCTCACTCTGTCACCCAGGCTGAAGTGCAGTGACAGGATCTCAGCTCATTGCAAACTCCACCTCCCAGGTTCAAGTGATTCTCCTGCCTCAGCCTCCCAAGTAGCTGGGATCACAGGTGCTCGCCACCACGCCCAGCTAATTTTTGTATTTTTAGTAGACACCATACACAGCTAATTTTTATATTTTTAGTTTCACCATGTTGGCCAGGCTGCTCTCAAACTCCTGACCTCGTAATCCACCTGCCTTGGCCTCCTAAAGTGCTGGGATTACCGGCGTGAGCCACAGTGCCCAGCTTTTTTTTTTTTTTTTGAGACCAAGTCTCACACTGGACTGGAGTCCAGTGATGCAATCTTGGCTCACTTCAACCTCCGCCTTCTGGATTCAAGCAATTCTCCTGCCTCAGCCTCCCAAGTAGCTGAGATTACAGGTGCCTGCCACCATGCTCCAGCTAATTTTTGTATTTTTAGTAAAGACAAGGGTTCACCATGTTGGCCAGGCTGGTCTTGAACGATTGACCTTGTGATCTGCCCCTCTCTGCCTCCCAAAGTTCTAAGATTACAGGCGTGGGCCATTGCACCCGGAGTTGTTGTTTTTCTAATATAAATATTGTAGAAGATGTTGTTTATTTAGAGAGGGGTTTTTGCTACATTTTCCAGGCTGGTCTTGAACTCCTAGGTTCAAGTGATCTTTCTGCCTCAGCTTTCTGAGTAGCTGAGAATACAAGTGTTCAACACTACACCCAGCTTCCATTCTCCTGTTAATAGGATTTGGGTTGTTAACAGTTTGGGGCCATTATAAATAAAGCTGGTATGAACATTCTTGTACAGTCTTTTTTTTTTTTTTTTTTTAAAGAGACAGAGTCTCGCTATGTTGCCCAGGCTGGATTGCAGTGGCTATTCACAGGCGTGATCCCACTGCTGATCCGCACGGGAGTTCTGACCTGCTCCATTTCCTACCTGGGCCGATTCACACCTCCTTAGGCAACCTGGTGGTCCCCCACTCCTGGTCCTGGGAAGTCACCATGTTGATGCTGAACTTAGTGCAGACACCCGATCACCATAGCGCACCACAGCCTAGAACCCATGGGCTCAAGCAACCCTCCCACCTCAGCCTCCCGGATAGCTGGGACTACAGGCATGCGCCACCGTGCCTGGCTCTTGTACAAGTCTTTATTTGGACTTAAACTTCCATTTTCTTGGAGTGGAATTGCTGGATCATATGGTAGAGGAATTTTAAATTTTTAAGAAACTGCTAAAATATTTTCTGAAATGGTTGTATTATTTAACACCCATCTCAGCAGTGCATGAGAGTTGTTGTTGCACCACATCCTCACCAATACTTGATATGGTCATTTTTTTTTTTTGAGACAGAGTTTCACTCTTGTTACCCAGGCTGGAGTGCAATGGCGCAATCTCGGCTCACCACAACCTCCGCTTCCTGGGTTCAGGCAATTCTCCTGCCTCAGCCTTCTGAGTAGCTTGGATTACAGGCATGTGCCACCATGCCCAGCTACTTTTTTGTATTTTTAGTAGAGACGGGGTTTCACCATGTTGACCAGGATGGTCTCGATCTCTTGACCTTCTGATCCACCCACCTCGGCCTCCCAAAGTGCTGGGATTACAGGCTTGAGCCACCGCGCCCGGCCTTTTTTTTTTTTTTTTTTTTTTTTTGAGCTGGAGTCTTGCTCTGTCACCCAGGCTGGAGTACAGTGGCATGCTCTCAGCTCACTGCAACCTCTGCCACCTGGGTTCAAGCGATTCCCCTACCTCAGCATCCCAAGTAGCTGGAATTACAAGTGCGTGCCACCAAGTCCAGCAAATTTTTGTATTTTTAGTAGAGACAGGGGTTCAGCATATTGACCAGGCTGGTCTTGAACTCCTAACCTCATGATTCACCTGTCTCAGCCTCCCAAAGTGCTGGGATTACAGGTGTGAGCCAACTTGCCCCGCCAAACTTTTTTTTTTTTTTTTTTTTTTGAGACAGAGTCTTGCTGTGTTGCCCAGGCTGAAGTGCGGTGGCATGATCTTGGCTCACTGCAACCTCCGCCTACTGGGTTAAAGTCAGTCTCCTGCCTCAGCCTCCTGAGTAGCTAGGATACAGGCACTCGCCACCACACCAGGCTAATTTTTGTATTGTTAGTAGAGAAAGGTTTTCAGCATGTTAGTTAGGCTGGTCTCGAACTCCTGACCTTGTCATCTGTCCGCCTCAGCCCAAAGTGCTGAGATTACAGGAGTGAGCTACAGCACCCGGCTCAGTCTTTTTAATCTTAGACGTTCTCATAGATGAGAAATGGTGTGTCCTGATTTAACATGTATTTCCCTAAAGACATATAATGTTGAGCATCTCTTCATGTTTGCTATCTGCACTCTTCTTTCTCTTTCTTTCTTTTCTATTTTTTTTTTTTTTTTTTTTTTTTTGATACAGAGTTTCGCTCTTGTTACCCAGGCTGGAGTGCAATAGCGCGATCTCGGCTCACCGCAAACTCTGCCTCCTGGGTTCAGGCAATTCTCCTGTCTCAGCCTCCTGAGTAGCTGGGATTACAGGCACCCACCACCATGCCCAGCTAATTTTTTGTATTTTTAGTAGAGACGGGGTTTCACCATGTTGACCAGGATGGTCTCGATCTCTTAACCTCGTGATCCACCCGCCTTGGCCTCCCAAAGTGCTGGGATTACATCTTTTCTATTTTTTAGACAGGGTCTCACTCTGTCATCCAGGCTGGTGTGCAGTGGCACGATCTCAGCTCACTGCAGCCTCTGCCTACTGAGTAGCTGG